TGTCTAAATGGTAACAGTGTCTAAATGGTAACAGTGTCTCAATGGTAACAGTGTCTAAATGGTAACTGTGTCTAAATGGTAACAGTGTCTCAATGATAACTGTGTCTGAATGGTAACAGTGTCTTAAAGATAACTGTGTCTAAATGGTAACAGTGTCTTAATGATAACTGTGTCTAAATGGTAAAGTGTATATATTGTAAGAAGGTATTATAAACGGATAAAGTGTTATAAATGGTAAACGTATCACAAAAGTAACACTATTTAACGCCGCTGAATTTTATTGATTTTTTTTTTCTCTGACTTTCCGCAACATAATTACATTGAATTTATGTTAAACCTCTAAAAAAGTTAATTAAGGAAGAAGAGTAACATGCCCCTAAACAACATCACACAAAAATGTCAACGAAACAAATCACCCAAGCCATAGTTAAGCTGCCTTCCTAAGTATCACAAGAGGGTGCAGGAGGAAATATAAACCTTTCTGTGGCAACAATATAAAAACAAACCATAAAAAAACAGAGAATCTGATTTCCCCCCCCCCCCCCAAAAAAAAAAAAAAACCATAAAAAAAAAAAAAAAAAAAAAAAAAAAAAAACAAAAAAACAACAAAAAAAAACAACAAAAAAAAAAAAAAAACCTTTAGAAAATCTAAACAGTTGAAAACTAAATAGCTCTAAATCAGCGAAAATAGATATCAAGACAGACACGAGAAATAAATGGGCACAGACAACCACAGAGTTAGACCAACGCAAGGACGGAACTAGGCATGGTCTTTTCTAAGTAACCTTTGCGGTGAAAGGCGAAAATCCAACCCCAAAACCAATGCAATATAAAAACAAAAAAATAGGGCAAGATCGAAAGAAAGCAGAAATATTTTACAAGCACTTTGCCACAAACAACAAGGCAAACAAAAAGCCGATCCCTAATAGATGAAATAAAGCCGAGAGAGAGAGAGAGAGGGAGAGAGAGAGTGAGAGAGAGAGAGAGAGAGAGAGAGAGGGGGGGAGAGAGAGAAAGAGAGAGCGAGAGAAAGAGAGAAAGAGAGAGAGAAAGAGAGAGCTAATTGTGAAAGCATTGCTTCTTTCGAAGAATTCTTCAAACTGAGCTCAATTGAGCTATAAGGAGACTGAAATCTCGAAAAGCCCCTTTGCCCTTTTCCGGGGGCCCAGACAAAATCAAATAAAAAGATGCTGGTTAATTTGGGCCCAGAAAGGTAAAAATGCACACCTGACCTTATAAACAGTACTTGGGACTAAAGCGAAATACCTAAAAGTCCAGGGGAAATGCTTTCAAAACACCAATGTTCTAAAAGGAAAGGCTGCAGATGATGAGATTGATATCTCTGACCTCCCGCATTGGAAAAAAACTTCTAGAAAGAAAGATCAACGATCGCTTCTACTTGTGGCTGGAGACAACTAGCACCTCCAATTAACACCAAGTCTACTGGTGGCTGGAGACAACAAGCACCTCCAATTAACACCAAGTCTACTTGTGGCTGGAGACAACTAGCACCTCCAATAAACACCAAGCTGGCTTCAGAGCTGGAGACAACTAGCACCTCCAATAAACACCAAGCTGGCTTCAGAGCTGGACAGAGTACTGATGATCGACTCTTCCGCCTGAGCTCAAGGATCTTCGATGGGTTTCCAAGACAAAAACGCCACCAAAGTATCTGGTGGCGAGTTTTACCCTGGACGTTAAGTGATGCAGTGTTTCGTGCATGGCAAGCTGTACAACCGATCGCACAATCCCAACAACACCTTTAAATAATGCCGCGTCATCAGAGTGTGTTCTGAATAAAGGGCGTCCCCAAGGCTTTTTCACTGAGTTGTACCTTATTCTTAAAGTTCATTAATGACCTACCGGACGAGCTACATGGGGGAGAAGGCATTCTACTCTGTGATGCAGAGTAGACTCGAAGACTCGGTGCATACTGTCAATACTGTAAAATCTGAAAGTAAACAACACCAAGACAGTTTACTCGGTTTTGCACTAGGTAGCCAAACAGAGCATTAAACTGTCCCTACAAGGAACTGTACTCAAAAAAGAAGACTAGAACATATCTATGTGTCAAGCTAGTTACAACATATCTAGGTTTACCAGTTAGTTACAACATGCCAGTTAGTTACAACAGATCTAGGTTTACCAGTTAGTTACAACATGCCAGTTAGTTACAACATATCTAGGTTTACCAGTTAGTTACAACATGCCAGCTAGTTACAACATATCTAGGTTTACCAGTTAGTTACAACATGCCAGTTAGTTACAACATATCTAGGTTTACCAGTTAGTTACAACATGCCAGTTAGTTACAACATATCTAGGTTTACCAGTTAGTTACAACATGCCAGTTAGTTACAACATATCTAGGTTTACCAGTTAGTTACAACATGCCAGTTAGTTACAACATATCTAGGTTTGCCAGTTAGTTACAACATGCCAGTTAGTTACAACATATCTAGGTTTACCAGTTAGTTACAACATGCCAGTTAGTTACAACATATCTAGGTTTACCAGTTAGTTACAACATGCCAGTTAGTTACAACATATCTAGGTTTACCAGTTAGTTACAACATGCCAGTTAGTTACAACATATCTAGGTTTACCAGTTAGTTACAACATGCCAGTTAGTTACAACATATCTAGGTTTACCAGTTAGTTACAACATGCCAGTTAGTTACAACATATCTAGGTTTACCAGTTAGTTACAACATGCCAGTTAGTTACAACATATCTATCTGTCCAGCTACAACATATAATATGCGTTTCAACATATTTAGCTGTCCGTTTAGTTACAACATATCTAACTAACCAGTTAGTTACAACATGTCTAGGTGTCCAGTCAGGGCCGTCATTTCAGGTTTTCGTTTCAGGGGAGGGAGGGTGCAAAACACAAATCGTGGTCGGCTTGTTAAGTTGTTTATTACTGGACCTGGAGGCACCACAGCAAATATTATTTTAATTAAAACCTGCAAATTCCAGGGTGGGAGAGGGTAAATGAACAGCCAAACATGCCTACACCACTTAACATTGGAGAGCAGATATCAGAGCTAACAAAAGAAGAAGAAGAAATGGATGAGCTATGGGCTCAACAGGAAGATGTGTTCTCACACACATGCCCAAACAGCAAACTGGATCTGAATGACGATGATTTTGTGACTGATCACAGATACAATTTGGCAGATCGTATTAATAGGTCTGCTTCTATAAAATGTCGGCTTTCGTCAGTCTGCTTCTATAAAAAATGTGGCAACTGGCTAGTCTGCTTCTATAAAATCTCGGCTTTCGTTAGTCTGCTTTTAAAAAAAAATGGGGCAACTGACTAGTCTGCTTCTATAAAATGTCGGCTTTCGTTAGTCTGCTTCTAAAAAAAATATGTTAACTGGCCACTCTGCTTCTAATAATGTGGGCATTCGTTAATCTGCTGTAATATCCAATAAAGTCATTGATTTAGAGCAAAAACGTTTCATGACATGAACTTGGTCTTGTTATCACAACTGAGACAGCCTCTGAGCATTAATAGGTTAAAACGCACATCTACCGGGAAAGGATATTTTGCAAATGAGTAATAAAATGCAGCCGTCATTAAAAAATAAACGAAAAGAAAAAATTTACGGTACGAAAATGACAGTAGGAAATCACCTTCGTCAATTATTATGGTAAAAGTAAAAAGTAGGCTTGCATTTTTTTTTCTTATAAATCTTAAGATTGCATTGTTGTTGTTTTTTTTGAAACGGTCAATAAGAGGCTATCGAGTATTAAATCTTAAGATTAGAACATTTAATTTGTGTCATATTATTTAAGAGCTCAATTTTTCTGTACCGAGTAATTTCCCTTTAAACGTAAAATAATGTGCTTCTCAAATATTATTTTTCTCGGTTGTCACTCTTTGATCATAAAATGGAATACATTAATATCAAATTATATAAATTTTAAATGAGCTACACTCTAAAGCGATGGTATTATTAGTATAATGACTTTAAGGGGCACACATTTACAGCATATTTTAGTTTAATAAAGCCCTAGTAAAACTTGTATTTCAAAACGGAACAATTTATGGCAATTATATCATAGTTTTTATTCTACTACCTGCTTTTTTAATAAATTAACAGTTCAAAATTTATATAACAGCAAAAATTGAAATCAGCATCCTTTTTATTTAAATTTTATTCTTATTTAATAACAGTAATGTAAAGAATTTATTAAAACTTTAGCGCCTTTAATAAAGCACATGAACAAAAAAGTGATTTTATAGTTTTCTTATTTGCTCAATGATAGATAATATTTGCTTAATTGTAATTGTTGGTAGTATTCCAAAGTAAACAGTGAGTTAAAAAGGCTAGAACTATGACACTTTTTAACCTATTTAACCTATAAGGGGACACATTTTAACTCCATTATTTATCTGAATGATTTTTATAGGGCCCCCTATCTCAAGCATAACTTAAACGGTACCTCTTTTAAATTAAATGTTAACTTTTATTAGTAATAAACTAACAGTGTTTACTTATAAAATTATAAGTACAAGTATAATAAAGAAAAGTATAAGTCATAAGCCTTCATTAACTCATTGTATAAGTATAGTGAGTAGTTGGTTAGCCTAAATACTGTGCATTAAATTTGAATCTAAGTGACAAATAGATTTGATCTTTAACGACTTATCATTATTAATGGCATGGTATTTTTCTTTCTTCTTCCTGCTACACTGCTAGTGAAGTGAAGTAGTGTAGCAGTGGTTGAAGTGACATTTAGTGTACTCAGTTTTAATCTTCTCCGATAAAGAGGAAATATAATTATTTGGTCTTTTCATGGCAATTAAACAATTTTTGCAATCCTACATTTTTACAAGCATTCAATAATATCAGTTACAATTATGCTTCCATAACTGCAAAATATCAAAAAATCATAAGGAATTACGCAAGGGGGATAACAGCAACAACAACAAAAAATACAAAATCCTCACAGCCAACATATCACTAAAGTAAAAAACAACATTTTGATAAAAGTGTATAATTTTATTTAAAACACATAGGTATAAATATGGATGTCAACATCTTTTAAGAATTTGATTTCTGATAATACTAATAAAATGAGGCCATGTCAAATCTTGCGTAGTCTATAAGTATAAGCTTTACCATTAACGCTAACAGAAACAGCATAAAATAAAAAAGTAATACACAAGTTGCTACATTTCATAAAGATTTTTATGCAACATAATTTCTGCTATAGTTGTACTCAACTTCAGATAAAAGAATAGGTCGAGTAAGAATTTCAACTCTTCGTGCTGGCCACACCCCCCAACGAGCTGACCGCCACGCATTGTTGTGCTGCCCTTGTCCCCATGACCTCTTATGGAAATATATTTGTATACCATAACAAAAAAAAACATAAATGATTCAGGAAAACACAAAATTTAATCGACTCGCTAATAACCAGAAATGGAAATAAGATTCCTTACCTGAAACTTACATGATTTATTTAATCTCAGTTCCATCTCAAGAATCACTCCTGCTACTACGATTAAATCTATTTGTAAAGATTTTCTTAATATATGGCCATCTTTATTTGTACTTTTAGTCCTGCATAAAGGACACTGCTCAATTAGGTGGCAATGCCCTAGGAGCCCTACAGTTTAGCCAGCCAGGCCCACTAGAGGATTATGAAAATGTGTTCAGGGTGTGCTTTTATGGAAATAGCTATCATATCAATCAGTTTTTTCCAAAGTGTGGCATATGCCCTGGACGGGGTGCAATTTGAAGATTATGGGACATTTTAGGTTCAAAGATATACAATGTATTTAAGTTTTAAATAAAAACAGAACAATTATTCTTAAGCTAACTATTGATAATTGTTTGCTTTTTATTCAATACAAATTTATTTCACCAATAGAAAGTTTTGTCCTACTATGCTGAATCTCATAAATAAACAGGCTGTGAATCTGAAATTCAATCTTCCTTACAGTAGAGGCATTTTACTTTTACAACATTCCTCGAAATTATAAAAAAGAAAAATAATATCTATTATTTTAAAATGTTTTAATTTTTATGCATTTTTTGGATGTAAAACGTTAAAGAGGAAACAACGGCAATGTTATTTGCAATAGGAAGACTTGAGCCTTAGAGGTAACAACATCAGTGTTATTTGCAATGGGAAGATATGAGCTTTAGCAGTTCTGACTGTAGCTGGTCACATAACAGGCCAATTCATAGTCATTTAAGCTAAGACCTTCCACTTTTCATGATGATAATCTGAGGTCAATGTCCTCGTCAGTGCAGGAGAAAAGTTTGGGAATCTATGGGGAACTACTAACAAATCATTTGTCATTCAGTTATAAAAATAGTTGTTATTTATTCTACTCCTGGTTACAGACTTATAATTGTGATTAATGATGACATAACATTTTTAAAAACTACAACTACACACAAAAGTCAATGTCAAAGCACGAGAAAAAAGACAAAATAAGTAATTGGTGGGAGGTTTATCCCCAACCCATTGGGTTTAATTATTGGTCTTTACATCATTCTGACCACTAAACATTATTTAAGCAAATTAGATATAAGATTCCTGAGATTGATTTTAATTTATGATAGAGTTTCAATAATAATATAAAACAGATTCTGCATGAGCTGCTGTGATCCCATCATGTTTTTAAGCTTGACAGAATTTGCTCATCGTCAAATAGTGCAATAAAAGAACTACCAGCTGATTTTATTCATGAAATCCTATTCATATATGAATATAAACAGAGGAGATGAAAAGTGACCCACAAGATGTTGTAATTGTAATAACATACCATTATAAGTAAACTGGTAACATTCTGAATTCAAACCCGGAAATGGACTCCCCTAGGAGGTATGGCATTGACAATGAAAATCCCGGCAACTCCTGCGGTGCTACTGGTTTTCTCTTGGGGTTATCCAGATACGTGGAGAGAGGTGATTTGCTGTATAGGGAAACAGCTTATCCCCCTTAAGAAAAAATCCCAGGTCTTGCGAAGCTACACCATCGTCATATTGTGACAAATGGATGCCAGGAGAGAAAAAACTGCTAACACCAAAATTTCACACTTTTCCCCAGGAAGGGTTAAAAGTAAACAATTAATTTGGCAAGTTTTATTTTCATAACTGAAACTTAAATAACTATATATTACATTATTGATTCTATGTTTCCTATTCAGAATCACTGCTGCTAACTTGATCCAATCCCTTTTTTAACAATTTTTTAGTCCAAGGTTCTACCACATCTTTGACCAAAGTTATAACAAGTTCTCCCTTTTCCACCTGTAAAATAAAAATGTAACAAATTCAGAATGCAGAATTAAAATTTGAACACCAACTTCAATTTTTCATTTTTTTTTTTTTTACAATTTACTGAAATGGTCATTAATTTTACAACTAAAAAAAAAAAAAAAAAAAAAGATTTAATTCTATGAAAAATTTTGAAATAAATTGTTAAATTAAAATTTATATTGTAATTATAACAGGTACCTTGAAATTTAATGTGTAAACAAACTGTTTAAAAGGATTCACATATTGATTATATTATCAATTAGAAGGATTTAATTATTGTACTTAAATTAATAGAAAAACTTACAGTCCATTTTGATTTTGGTATATTTATTTTTGTAGGCATACTTTCAACTTGATGTACATAAGCTGTCCTTGTCTTTGCCTTTTTGTCTGCTATTTCAACTCTCACAGAGAAACTATAACCACTGATACAATAAAAAAGTGATAGCAATCAGACAATAAAAATAGAATTTGGGCCAATAAATGATTCTTCTTCATGTTAAAACATTTAAGATATTTATTTACAATGTATATTAATATTCAATATTGGATTTTTGTAAAAATTTCTATTTCTATCTTCATCAAAATCCTGATATTTTCAGAAATATGAATTAGTCTACTGGTACTTGTAATGATGATGTGCTTATGTGGGTTAAAGGAAGTGCTTCTGCTTTTATTGATGACAGACCAAGTAAGAAATGAAAGTTAGACTACTACAAATCTCTGTCACAGTGACTTACTCATTAAAGAATGTAAGAGACACGTTCCCATGTTTTGGGTTTTTATCTTTAGAAGGCTCTAGTCTTGGAATTTTTAATTCAACTTTCACGGTTCCATCATTCATGTCTCTTGAAATCACTGAAAATAGCATTAAACTTAAATATTTGGAAATTTATCATTAAAATGAATTGTGTAAAGCTTTAATTATCTTCTCATTTTCTTTGGATTAGGACTAAACATGACATACCATAATAAGCAAAGTGAAATATTTTAAAATAAATTCTAAAATAGGTAGGTCCTACATCTGGATATTGTCTACATTTAAACATAGGCTTGCAAACTCCAATATAATTGATTCAAATTTAGTAGTTGTTCAATTCATATGAGTTATTAGTAGTAGTAGATGTTGGATTATTATTTCTATAGTCTATAGTGAATTATCAATCATTATTCCAAACTCAATCTTAATTTTTAAGCTAAAAAGCGAAGTTTAATGGCGCTTATTATGCCAAATAAACCTAATATATATTATAAATGAATAAGGGGTGTAGCTCAGGGGAAGGCAACCTGTTTTATCCTGATGGATGCATGGAAATTAATTTTTTTTTATTGGGCAGCATCATAATTTTTAATGAATTTAAAATGTAATGTTATCAGTGAGCAGATAACAAGTTTATAGTGTAGTTTATAGTGTTAGTATTTAGTTACATACTTGTAACGTTTGTCAATTTTACTATAAGATTATTAATTTTCAAATTCGAAGACTTTTACAGACACTTATTCACAATTTGAACTTTTACAAAACCATTAATAGTTTCTGGTAGTTTGGTAGGTCATGGATTAATTACTTCAGTTTGGCTAGATGCTGGTTGCCCACCCCTTTTATAGCTAAAATAAAAGGCAATTAAAACTTTTAAGTTATATAAATAAAAATAGTGTTATTTATAAGTTATAACTGGTCATCCATAAATGCTGTCAGGCATAGAAGAAAGGGAAAAGGGGGGGGGGGGGTCAGAAATTTGTATTAAAACTATTAAGTTATATAAATAAAAATAGTGTTATTTATAAGTTATAACTGGTCATCCATAAATGCTGTCAGGCATAGAAGAAAGGGAAAAGGGGGGGGGGGGTCAGAAATTTGTGATGATGCTTGATAAAAGTGTCTAAAATGTGCTACAAATTTTTGATGATGCTGAATGGTGGTGGGAAGGGGGGGGGGTAAAAAATCTTCGACAATAGCTTAATCTCATTTATGGATTGGTCTCTATGCTTTAGTCATTACATAACAAAAATTAATAATATTATTTTAGTATTACGAAGTTAACTAAATACCCATTATTAATTAACATTAATATAAGACTACCATTGACTTTATAAAGCATGTGAGAGTGTGAGTCAAAGTGTATGGTCTATAACCATAATTCAATTATTATATACAGTGGCCCAGTGGCGTCACTAGGGTTGGCAGTAAGCTTATGTTGGCTCCCCTCCATACTTACCCATAGTCACAGAGCTCCCCTGAGTCTGTCTGCTCAGGTGTAAACCTACTCTGGCAGTACCCTGCTCTGGTGACTACCTGCTCTTTCCTTAATGAAGTTGTTTATGTTATAGTATAGACATTATGGCCACTAGAGCGAACTATATTATATAAATACAAAATTTCATTTATGCCCCCTCCGCGGGGTCACCAGTGCAAGTCTGAACTCCCTAGTGACGTTACTGATTATAAATGACTCACATAATTGACTTATTTATTATTAAAATTAAATAATATATTTTAAATCTTTTTATTATTAGCCTATAAGTTAATTTATTAATAATGAAATAAAAAATAATGCCAAACCTCGAGGATGTAATACATCTACAATTGGGAATTCATTTTCATCCATATAAAATTAACAGCATCAATTAAATTTCACTCCAATCACAATCCCGAAAACATTTGTTTTTAAACGTTAGTGTTAGCCTTGTAAGTATAATCTGTATACTGAACGGCATATTATATGATTATGAATCATTCTGAATTATTAAAATTAATTAAACTTAACTGGTGACTTAAACCAACATTTTGCTGCAACAATCATCAAAATTTAAATCTATTGATATTGAAATTGTCTTTGATCATTTATATTATTATTGTTATTGAATATTAATATTGATTTATTGATGTCAATAAAAAATTACATTCATTGAATTTGAATAGTCTTAGTATACTGAAGAAGGGCGAAATCCCTTCAAATCCCCTACTCCGGAGAAACTATAGAATATTACTATGAATTTAGCTCGATTTGGGGAAGCATGAACATCATATTCATGGTCTGAATGCTACGCAACTAGGCTAATTTAAACTCCGTTGACTCCATTCTTCCTTTTTACTTTTACTTTTAGTCACATAAAAGGAACTCTTCAGTTACCGTAAGTGACGTTATCCGTGATAAAAGACCGAGATTGGGCTGTGGGAACGATTATTACCACGAGAAGCGATTTTTGGGATGTTCAACTTGACCTAAGATCATTGTGAAAAGTTTGCAGGTATTCCTTGGTTGGTCTTTGTCTGCATATTATACATGTAACTTTTAACGTGCTCCTAGTCCATTGATTCCGACTCTATCGTCCCCATCCAATGTTTTGTTGGTTGTGAGAAGCTAAGTAGGCGTAGGGCGTCAAAAATGTTGAAAACGCCTGATCAGGTATTCCTACCCGTCGACCCTCGTTGCCGGATACCCAACGGGGCAGACACATTTAAGGAAATTTTGGGAGTCATTGGAGTGCTGTTAAAAGTTATTTAAAAATTACTATATTTTTTGTATTTAACAACTTGTACTTTTTACTAATGTCAAAGGGTGTAGTTAATTTATATTAATTTTATTATTTAAATATTTTAAATTAATTTTTGTAAATGATTTTTTTGTTGTTGTTGAGGTTTTCGTTCAAATATATCATTACTGTGTACTATTATAATATGAACACATGTGCAAGCCCAATATTCAATATGTAGTATATATAAGACGCACCATCATTTTCATGTTGTTTTTTTTAAATGATCTTTTTAAATTGGGTACGCAAGGATTGCCCGGATGCGACTACCTTGCGTGTTAGCTCTGGTCCTGATGGACCACGCAGAAGATATCAGAAAAAGATGGAGAGAGAATGAGTTTGAAGAACTGCACAGCTCTCTTTCTCAAAACCCTAACAAAATCAAGCTCGTGTCTAAAGAGCCGTTAACTGGTCATAAAGCATTGCTCTAGACCACCCCACCCCATATAACAAAATGATAAGCCACTCCCTACAACCTTCACATTATAAACAATGTCCACATTGCCGCAGCACATAATTATATAAACAATTTAGATTTGATCATCTTTACATGCAAAGGGCGAAAACAGTGTAATTTGTTATTGAGGTAAATTAATGCGTAGATCTAATTAAAGCTGGGAGTGAAGCGTGGAGCAGGGTTTCTTTCGGGCACCTCTCCGGGGGGCACTGCCCTCCGGAGCAAAATGGGTAAAAACAATAGAATGATTATGTATTTTTAAAAATAAAAGCAAGTTAATTGTCATTTTTAAACTGTTTTAAAAAGAATAGTAACTGGTGCCTTTATCCGATTACAATTAGTGGAATCTATTAAATATCGCTACGCTCGATATTTTGATTATCCGTATATTTCTGGTTCTGGTAGTGTTCGTTGCTGCATCCATGTACTTGCATCTGTGCAACGGTTGGGGGTATGATGTTCCTATTGTAACAGCTCCTAGCTGATCTTGTTTAAGGCTTACAGTTTTCGATTATAAATATCGTACTGGCCGCTTCTGACAATCGGAGAACGGTCTCCTAGCACAACCAAACGAATGAATCTGGAGTTCAAATGTGTCTTCTTCTTCTTTATTTTGAGGGCTCACGATCAATGAATTGATCATTCTGGCTCCTAAGTTTCAGAGGGGTTTGCGATGTTACTGTGCATGTGTTTCAAGGGGATACTTCACTGGTATCAAGGGCTACTTAGCAGTGGTGTTACGAACTGGGGGTTGGAATGCAGGAGGCAATAGACACAAATGTGTCGAGTGTAGCCGCCTCAACTTTTGCTTTTGGAAACTTGTTCCAGTCCCCTATTGTCTTCGGCAGGAATGAGGAGCTCCTGTACTTTTTTCATGTTTGTACCAGCGGAACTGTCTGTCGTGGCCTCGTCGCTGTCAAGGGGGAAGATGAACGAGTTTCTGTTTGATGCAGTGGACCAGCCCATTTTTTGATCTTGTACAACATGGCGAGCCTGGATAGTCGTCGTCATTCTTCCAATGTTGACCAGCCCAGTGTTTCTAGCATGCTGCCAACACTTGGGGTGTTTCTGTAGTGGTTCAGGACAAAGCGTGCTGCCCGTCGCTGGACCGCCTCCAACCTGTCGATGCTTTTCTGGGTAAATGGGTCCCAGACTGTAGAAGCGTACTCTAAAAGAGGCCGGACAAAGGCTTTGTAGGCTTTTTCTTTCACGCTTGAGTTGCCGATCTTCAGATTGCGCCTTAGGAACACCAGGGTCTTGTTTGCCCGGTTGCACACACTGTTAATGTGCTCGTCCCAGCGAACCTCTCTTTGAATGGGAACACCTAGGTACTTAGCTGAGGAAATTGGCTCAAGAAAATGGCCATGCAATTCGTAAGAGTGGTTTAGAGGGGATCTGCTTCTGGAGACTGATAGGGTCTGGCACTTGACGGGATGAAATTCCATGTCACAGCTCATATCCCACTGAGCTAACCGATTGAGATCTTATTGGAGCTGGCTCTGGCCAGAACTGTTGAAGATTGTCCTATATACCGCCGTGTCGTCTGCGAACAGTCTTGCTTGAGAGGTCAGCTTCTCGGGCAGATCATTGATATATGCTGGGAACAAATAAGGGCGTAGAACTGAGCCCTGGGGGACCCCTGACTTGACACCGACAAAGGGGGAGGTTTTGCCATCTACCACTACTGCCTGGCATCGGTTGCTGAGGAAGCTAGAGATCCATGTTTTGGTAGTGCCTAGAATCCCATAGCTCTGCAGTTTTTGTAATAGCAAGCTAAGGTTGACACGGTCGAATAGCATCTTGGCTGCATACATTTAAAAAAGGCAAGGTAAAACCTACAAGAATACATGGACACTAATTACTTGCAAGTAAACCCATATTTTAATATACAACATGCTTTTTTTAAATTATTTTTTTTTTTTACACAACTCAATATTTATCATAATCGATGAATTGCCTATGCCCCATTTACTATCTGGAATGAAACATGCAGTGCCGTAGGAATAAGGGCGGTCCGCTCCTGGCAGCACAATTTTTCTTTATATAGGGGTGTGTGGCATTTTAGGCATAATGGTCGCATTTCCCAAACTTTAAAGTTTTGGCGGATCTGTGGACACGTTTGGAAATTGTATCAGGGACCGGTGCCAGATTTCTAGATTACTTTATATTTTTATTCAACTATAAATATTCATGTTGTGCGGACCGGCAACTTAAGGCTCACGTAGTCATGGACCGCGCTTGAATCCCCCCCCCCTTTTTCCCCCCACGCTCAAATAGTCTAATACAAACACTGAATTCAGGTATGCTCCAAAATTCACCTCTTGATTTTGAAATTATAAAAAATCTGGGGCAGTGAACCCCAGACCCCTGCCTACTTTCCGCTCGAGAGCAATCAGCGCCCTTAATTTTGTCATTAATTCCCGATAACTATTATTGCCAATTTCAGTGCCGATAAATGCACTGTCTAGTGGCGTAGTTAGTATTAGTGCCGCCATTGACGGGCCAAGATTTTTGAAAATTTAATGAAACCAAATGCTACACAATGACCATCTCAAGAAAAAAAAACATCAACCTATATGTACTCACTAAACAAGACAATTCTCCAAGTATCAAATAATCCATACCTTGGAATCCTCTTCTCAAATAACCTAAAAGGGTCACCCCATATAAACAAAGTTTAAAAAAAAAGCCAACTCCACCCTAGGTTTCATCCGAAGAAATCTGCGCCACTACCTAACTTCTTGCAAACGAAATGCCTATCTCGCACTCGTCCGTCCACTACTAGAATATGGTGCGATCATCTGGGACCATCTGGGACCCACATCTTAACCAAGACGAGGACAAGATGGAGCGAATTCAAAGTAACGCGGTGCGTTTTATCGCTCGAGACTACAAATCCACCACTTCTGGCTTCATCACTGGCCTCTTACAAGGATTTGACATCCCCTCCCTTAAAGACAGACGAGAGGGACTCCGCCTGATATTCTTATATAAAGTGGTCATGGGACTGTTGCGGCCATCCCAGCAGGCACGTACCTCACCCCACAGAAGCCGGGTAGACTGATCAGAGCAAAACGCTCACTGGACACTGACTTCACTACTTACAATCCCATTCATAAACAATTACACCCGAAAAAATAGAAAATGATTCAAAGTGCCTCAGTGCAACACAGTGCAGTATAAACAATCTTTCTTCCCACGCACAATAATAGCATGGAACCACCTGGACAATGCCACTGCGAACTTGAAATCGATCGAAAGCTTCAAGGCTGCCCTGGCATCAGCTAGGAGCTGTTAGAATAGAAACATCATACCCACAACCGTTGCACAGATGCCGGCACATGGATGAAGCAACGAACACTACGAGAACCATACCCCCCCCCACCCCATTTCTGACCAAGAGCTAACGGAGCCCTCAACTTCTGCCCTACTTCAAAATAAAAAATGACAGTATAGCTGGCCCCGATCGCCAATTATGGTAACATGTACGCTCCTTTAACAATAACAACTGAGCGATTGTCTAAAGATAATGCTCTTCCATATCAAGAAAGAGTGACACCTGGGCATACAACCCCATCTACGTCACTGACAGCAGTGATTATTTCAGAAATTTTCCCCCGGGGGTACACTCAGATTTTTCGGTTGGGAGGTGAGGGGGCGCAGTGCCAGTTGATTTATTGTTGGATATATTTTTGCTCCGGGGGGCACTTGGCTTTCCCGGGGGCACTTGGCTTTCCAGTGCCCCCCCCCCCGAGATCTAGCTGAAAGAAACCCTAACTAGCAGACGAGAATCTTGAGTATTTGGCACCACAGGACAAGATTCATTTTTACGCCCCTCCCCTCAACTCTGAAACACACTACTTTCAAACATTTCAAAACGACTATCAAGCAGACCTACAGTGCGTGCGATTCATCAAGATTCCCTTGCTTCCGACAATGTCACAGCCACATAAAATCAGTCTATACCAGGGGTCGGCAACCTGCGGCTCTTTTGATGTCAAGATGCGGCTCTCCAGTTCCATGCGCAAATATTAATAATTATATTGAAATAAACATGTTAGTGGCTCTCTAAAAACTGGGAAATTTTGTAAATTGTAACTTTTGGGTCTTCTGTCTCAAAAGATTGCCGACCCCTGGTCTATACAGATACTTTACAAATACACAAAGTACAATTGGATACAGATATACAGGGAACAGACACAAAAGTAACAAGTTTAAATAGATATTTATTATTAAAAGGCTTTAACTGTGTTCAGATGCCCTTGTATAAATTTGATTCATGCAGCACAAATATAAAAGCAAGTGCGTCTTAAGACAATACAATTATTATATTTATTTAAATATACACATTGTTGACAAAAATACATCTGGCGGTGCACCAACAATGATCATTTTATGATGAGGTGAAGAAAAAAAAAACGACACATTGAGAAATCTTAAGAGCAGGATCGACATTTTCTATATACTGAACTCCCTAAGAGTTTCTCTGATTCTAGCACCCCCAGCAAGCTGTTTCACTGATTCTAGCACCCCCAACAAACTGTTTCACTGATTCTAGCACCCCCAACAAACTGTTTCACTGAGTCTAGCACCCCCAACAAACTGTTTCACTGATTCTAGCACCCCCAACAAGCTGTTTCACTGATTCTAGCACCCCTAACAAACTTTCACTGCTTCTAGCACTCTTAACAAACTGTTTCACTGAGTCTAGCACCCCCAAAAACTGTTTCACTGATTCTAGCAACCCCAACAAACTGTTTCACTGAGTCTAGCACCCCCAACAACTGTTTCACTGATTCTAGCACCCCCAACAAACTGTTTCACTGAGTCTAGCACCCCCAACAAACTGTTTCACTGATTCTAGCACCCCCAACAAGCTGTTTCACTGATTCTAGCACCCCTAACAAACTTTCACTGATTCTAGCAATCTTAACAAACTGTTTCACTGAGTCTAGCACCCCCAAAAACTGTTTCACTGATTCTAGCACCCCCAACAAACTGTTTCACTGAGTCTAGCACCCCCAACAACCTGTTTCACTGATTCTAGCACCCCCAACAAGCTGTTTCACTGAGTCTAGCACCCCCAACAACCTGTTTCACTGATTCTAGCACCCCCAACAAACTGTTTCACTGAGTCTAGCACCCCCAACAACCTGTTTCACTGATTCTAGCACCCCCAACAAACTGTTTCACTGAGTCTAGCACCCCCAACAACCTGTTTCACTGATTCTAGCACCCCCAACAAACTGTTTCACTGAGTCTAGCACCCCCAACAACCTGTTTCACTGATTCTAGCACCCCCAACAAGCTGTTTCACTGAGTCTAGCACCCCCAACAACCTGTTTCACTGATTCTAGCACCCCCAACAAACTGTTTCACTGAGTCTAGCACCCCCAACAACCTGTTTCACTGATTCTAGCACCCCCAACAAACTGTTTCACTGAGTCTAGCACCCTCAACAACCTGTTTCACTGATTCTAGCGCCCCCAACAAACTATTTCAAAGAGTTTAGCACCCCAACAAACTGTTTGACCAAGTCTTCAACCCGCTAAGTTTAAGTCGAACAGTGAAGCACAACTCCATAGCCAAATAGCATTGACTAATCATCTTATAACTAAAACAAAAAAGAATGAACCATATAAAGTGCACATTATTTTAGTTTGGGTATGGAAGGGACTACATTAACTACAAAATTTTGTCCCTGGCGTACAGCTGCATAGATGCCTCAGCACCGGAATATCTCAAGGAACTTTTTTATAAACATGTACTTCTGAAGAGCCTGCGGTCTTCAACAAAGTACTTACTGAGTGTTCCTAGAGTGGATGAACACAGAAAAAAAGTCTTACGGAGTGCGCTCTTTTGAAGCGATAGCGCCAAAATTATGGAACAGTTTGCCTTAATCTTTGAGGGGAATTGTAAATGATACAAAATCATTTAAGAAACAAAAACTTTTTTGTTTCAATAGATTTCGGAGGACCAGAGCGCAGTGACTATGCTAAAGTTGCATGGATACCAGTGCCATATAAATATCAAATCAAATAATCCGGTAGAAGATTTTTCTAAATTTATTTAAATCTGGGGTGGGGAGGGGTTGGTTACTTTGCCCCAGGCAGCACAAGATACGTCTCAAAAGAAAGTAATGAATTTGACAAATAATTAACCTTTTTAGGAACATACATTTCAGAGGTAGGAAGTAGGATGTGCACATTTTCACGTGGATGACAATATATTTAACTCCTATGGTATTACATTTGGGAAAAAAGAGATGTTACATTCTCTTTTTACAAAATGTGTATGTTCATTTTGCTCAAGGCAGAACAAGATAAGTCTCAGAATAAAGGAATGATTTTGATAAATAATTAATTTTCTTGGGTAAATACATGTCAGAGGTAGGAAATAAGATGTGTACATTTTTACATGGATGACAATATAGTTAACTCCTATGGTATTACATTTGTGAAAAAGAGATGTTACATTCTCTTTTAACAAATATGGGTATGTTCATTTTGCCCAAGGCAGCACAATACGTCTCAAAATAAAGGATGACAACATAGTTAACTCCTATGGTAAACTCCTATGGTATTACATATGTGAAAAAAAGAGATGTTACTCTCTCTTTTTACAACTCCTATGGTATTACATATGTGAAAAAAAGAGATGTTACTCTCTCTTTTTACAAATATACTTATGTTTACCAATTAAGAAGATCAACGGCGTTAACAAATCTTGGGTACATTTATATAAGTATAACAATGAATATCAAAACCCAATCATTTTACACACTTGAAAAAATAATTTAAAAAAAAAGAGATGGCTTAATATTTACTTTCAAAAAATTAAAATATGTTTTTGTTTTTACTTTGCAAAAAGTAAAGAGATTTGTATTTTATGATATAAAACATTTAAATAAAAAAAAACAAGACTCAAATCTGTTATAGACGTGAAAAAAAGGTTGCACGATTCTTCATTAGATAAAAGAACTTTGTTTCACGATTTTCTGATAATATATAATTTTTTTTTTTAAAGGCAAAAAATGTGTTTAAATTTTTGCTTAAGATATCAATATATATCGAATTCCTAAAACTTAAAATATTTTTATATCATATATAGAGTTTTTGGTGTAAATTTAAGGCAAGTTTAAAAAATTTTTTTTAGAGAAAAAAAGTTGTAATTCAAGGGCATGAAAAGGGGTAAATCTAAAATATTTCTCTAACGTAATAATTGTCCCTCAACTAACTTATTTAGTGACAAAAGTGATATAATTAGTAATAATTTAGACTATGTAATTTAAGGTCATGTTTAGAGTGGGAAAAAAGTAGTTTAGGAGCGTGAAAAGGAGTAGGGTAGTCCTATAATATAGAGCAGATAAATTCTTGTCAAAATGTAATGATGTCAGAAACGTAAATATTATTACATTTTTAAAGTTATGAATTGTGAAGAGTTTTTGCAATAGCAGTTGGAAATTATCGCATAGAATCTACCATTATTACCCGATAACATCAGGTCATTTATTCTAGAATATATAAGAGTGAGCTAGGGTATCCATATAAACCTAAAGAAAAAATTAATTTAAATATATTCAGATTCTTAAAAAAACAATGGTGATAGTATGATAGTGATTTTCTATTATTTTACAGAAATCGAATTTATTAAATGCGCAAAAAATAAAATATACCGGTTATCAGCTTTCATTATAGTATGATCATTAAAATTTACAAATACATTTAAGCTAACAATTTAAGAACTATTTTAAGGATTTTACCCCAATTTGAAAGTTATGATATTTGTTTTTATCAATAAATTATGATCAAATAATTATTTTTTTATAAAATCATAATCAATCCCATTTATCTGGAAAACCCAAATCTGTTGTTTTTTAGTGCGTTACTAATATTGCGAAATTAAATTTAAATTAATTTGATCTAGATGTCTTCAAAAGAAATCAAATTATAATTTTAGATTGAACGCAAAAAAAAAAAAAATATTAATTTCAAAAGAGCTAAATTTAAACTTGCAAATCAAAAGCTTTAAGTTTAAGTTTCTTTGACTGTAACAAAACTGATAATGTATAATATAAAATTATAAAATCTATAACGTAATTAAAACTTTACGTTTAAAAATACTTTTAATAAGAACATGCCATTAAAGTCAATTAGTGCAGCAAAACTTCACAGCCAAATACCACTCACTAATTCACTTATCACCCATCCAGATAAGAGCAAACCATATGAAGTTGCAATTGGTTCATTTTGATATTTATATCTAAAGACCCAATTATGTGACAGGTTTGAACTTTGGTATAGATTCGATACTTTCATTTTGCCACAAGCAGCACAAGATAGGCCTTAGAATAAAGAAATGAATTTGATACATTTTTTAACCTTCTCAGCATATTTATTGGGAAATAGGAAATAGGGTGTGTACATTTTTACATGGATGATAATATATTTAATCCAATGATATTAAAGTCGTGAAAAAGAGATGTTGCTTTCTCTATTGACAAATAAATATGTTTAACAATTAAGAAAATCAATGGCGTTGACAAAACGTGGGTACATTTACAAAAGTATAAGAAAACCCAATCATTTTACACAAGTGGAAATTTAATCTTAAAAATATTTTGATAATTTACAGTTCATATGAGTAGACAGAAATGGGTTAAGATTTTCTTTCAAAAAATAAAAATATATATTAATTATTATTGCAGTGGTCAAATAGAGCTGTACCCCCAGCATAGGGCTGGGCTCACTGCTTTGCATATAAAAATATTAGCAAACATAATCATGAGATTAAAAAAAAATTTCCACAATTTGTTTAATTAAAAAACAGCTGTATAAAAACAAAAAATATATATTCACCCCGCCCACCCCAGAACTATTAACATTTCAAGCCATGGCAGCACATTTTATCCGTCAGAGGGGGTAGTGGGAATCAGTCGGGATAGTAGAGGTTGAAGAGATGTGTCTTGAATGCAGTTTTAAAGGCCTGGATGGTCGGTATATTGCAGATGTGTAGTTGGAGACAATTTTATTGTTCATTGAAAGATAGAGATCGGTTCACCTTATGTTTTAATATGTGTCTTGCAAACAGATAGAATATGCGAGTGAAGCTGCCTAAGGGGTGAATAGCCATAAAGAAAATCGGTTAGATAGGATGATAGGAATTCAAGAAAAAGTTGTGGCTGAGAGCAGAGAGTTTGTAGTCAATACATGCTTGTAAAGGGAGCCAATGAAGTGAGTTGAGTAGTGGTGTGACAGGATCACGTTTTTTTGCCTTTAGAACTAACCTAGCATCCGAGTTATGACCTTTTTGTAGTTTTTCCATGAAGTGTTTTGGTGAACCAATACAGAAGAGAGTTGCAATAGTCAGAAGAGAAAACAAGAGCACAGACTTGGGTTTTTGTTGCGCTAACTGTGAGGTAGTGGCGGATGGAGCTGATCTGACTGATTGCGGTGTAAGCAGAGGGACAAATGTGAGGGATTTTTGAGAGACATTTTCTTAGAAATATTGAAACCAAGATTCTTGGCAGAGGATGTAAACTGGATGTTGGAGTTACCTACCTGAAATGAAGTGGGGAGTGCTGAGGTAGAGGATGATTTGTGATTGTGAATGAGGAGTGCTTCTGTTTTGTTATCGTTAAGCTTCAACTTGCTGAGTGTCATCCATGACTTGACATCACCAATGCACTCCTGAAAAGTCTGGACCGGAGTCGACAAGAGAGGGATGGGTGTGCTTGTATAGTTGCGTGTCATCTGCAAATGACTGGCTCTCAACAACAAGCCTCCCAAGCAAGAGGAGCAGTGGCCGGGTATACATTGTGAACAGAACCGGGCCCAAAACGGACCCCTGTGGCACTCCGTACACCAAGTCAGCACTGCCTGAGAGACAGCCACTGACAGCGACCGCCTGTGTTCTATGTGAGAGGTAGGTCAAGCCAAAAACTGAACCAGAAATTTCAAAGTAATTTTCAAAGGTTTTGAAAAGGGTTTGGTGGTCAATAGTATCAAAGGCCGCACTGAGATCTAAGAGGATCAGGATGAAGACATTACTGCTGTCCATTGCGAGCAAGAGGTTACTAGTGACTCTCAAGAGAGCTGTCTGTGCTGTGAAAAGGTCTATATGCTGACTGATTAGAACTGAGAAGAGAGTGGCCGTTAAATGATTCTAATGGAAATAGACCTATATCTGGATATGGACATGATTTTTGGATTAAAAAGATCTACAGCAGCCGCGAAGCCAAGCATGGAAAAAAAAAAGCATCATATAGGTCTGAGTGGAAGGAAATGGTGAAGCAGGCCAAAGCCTTACATGGGCTGTAGCACCACACGGAAGGATGGGCCCTATTATAGCTTTTCGGGTCACAAGAGAAAAAGTCTTGTCATCTATGCTTCTCCTCACCTGGCTCTTGGTAAGACTCTTGTAGCACCACACGGAAGGATGGGCCCTATTATAGCTTTTCGGGTCACAAGAGAAAAAGTCTTGTCATCTATGCTTCTCCTCACCTGGCTCTTGGTAAGACTCTTGTAGCGCCACACGGAAGGATGGGCCCTATTATAGCTTTTCGGGTCACAAGAGAAAAAGTCTTGTCATCTATGTTTCTCCTCACCTGGCTCTTGGTAAAACTCAGATATTCATGCGATGATTTTTATTATGCATCTCTAGTTGTCTCACCCAGCAGCTAGTAGTTCCAAAGTGTTTATGTCAGTTCATGCTTGAGTAGGTTTTTATTATACAATGCTTTCTATGACCTTCTCTATTGCACTTTTTTTTTTGCACTTCTTTAGGTATCCCATCATCATCCTTTTTGAGGCAACTGCCCTGTTGAATATTTAAAACTGGTTCGTAAATTTTTCAACAGTTAAAATAATTAGTAATAATATTTAATTATACATGTTATACTTTAGTTTTTACATTAATAATATTTAACTTTTATGTAATGGGGCCTATACATTAATCAACCATTAGATAAAACAAGAGATCTGAGAAGAAATAGTTTTTTTTTTGTTTACCTTATCCTTTATTTACAAGAGAAGGAAAAGACAAATAATATTTCAAGAATTTGGTGATTTCAAATCACATACAGATCTTTTTTCTTTTTTTCTTGATAAAATCATGGACTATTTCAATGTATCCTCTTACATTGTGATAACATTATTGTTCATAAATTTTATTTAACTGTGGACGATTTTTAACGGAATTTTTAAAAAATCTCTTTTTAACCCAAAGTTTAACACTTTCCAGCCTTGCACTTGCATTCATTGATACAACGATAAGTTCAATGAAATTTTCGCAATGTGTCTGGGATTTCAGAGAATTAAAAAGCAAGTTGAAAATAAGGTTATCCATTTCCTCTGTGTTGTTGTACCAGATAGATTTAGTTTGCAACATGACCTGATCAATTCACTGTGCAATCATAGCCTGCTCCACCATAGCCTTCCATTATGACCAATCCATGGCTTTCTGCCTCCATGTGTGGACCACTAGCTGATTTAAGTCATTTTCTATACCATCAATCTATTCCAGTCTTGGTCCACAGGTGAGCCATCTGCCTCTGTCACCCATTTTGATGCTCTACAATCCAGCATCCAATTAAGGTGTCCTGTCCATTGTAGTATCACTTTTTAAATTGTTGTGACTATATGTTTTATAACAGTTCTGCATATTGCCATACTGGAAGTGCTCACTTAGTTACCATTCCACCCCAATATATAGATTTTTTTTAGACCAACAATCATGATCTCTGAATAAATTAAATAGTGCAAGAAAGGAATGAGAGTATTGAGAGGTTATTCCTATCAATAGAAATGTTACTTTCAAAATATTAGAAAATAATTATAGTAGCAATAAACTACACACATCTCAACAATTTGGCCTTAAATGGAAGGATCCCTATTCATAAGACGTCCATTAAATAGAGTAGGAACAAAGAAGTAGACAGTAATTTTGGTTTTGTGAAACCAAATCTCAATAAAAATGGCCCACTGTTCAGAGTGGTAACAATTTTGATCCTGATACCATTAAAGTTATAGTATATTTTTTGCTTTATTTGGGGCAATGGCGTATATTCCATTCACAAATTCTTTCCATTCATCTTTGTTTTGAGCTGTTATTTCTTGCTCATTTCACTTCTTGTCGTTGATCTCCATCACATTGACCAGAGTCCTCTTCTCCAAGTGCTATGTGGTCTTTCTCAGTTTTTAGTATCTTTGTAGACACCACGACAGAGCCTGTCAAGTAATTTTAGATTTTTGGTTTCCTCAGTCTATTGCCAATCACTTCCTGATGGTTCCCATCTGATACTGTAATATTTTGGATAATTTTACATAGCTTATGTTTACTTTTCTCTGCTTCACACCCATAAATAAACATAAGTACATAAGACTTTTTATTGAAAACTTTAAACTTTATTTTTATCATTATGTGATTGCATCACCATATTATTTTATTTTATTCAGAATGTTGGTTGTAGCTTTCTGTAGTTTGGTTTAAATAATTTATATGTGTCTCCCTCCTTAAAAATGATGCTCCCCAAATATGTAATATGTACTCTCTATAAGAAACACCTATTTTCATTTGACTTATTGACTATGACACAAAAGATTCCAAGAAAAGGCTAGATGTTAGTTGTAACACATTATAGAGCAAACTACAATATAATGTTTAATACAAATTCTGACCGTATCATTATTTCTCTGCGTTATTTCCCTCTGCTTCTTCATCTGTATCACTGCTGCTAGCTTGATCCAATCCTTTGTCCCTTACTTTTTTCATCCAAGGTTCTGCCACAGCTTTGACTATTGTTATAATAAGCTTTCCCTTTTCCACCTGTGTAAATTTAAAACACAGAATGCTAAGCTAAAATTTAAAAAACATCTACAATATTTAAATTTTTTTTTGTAATAAATAAATGATTAAATATTGTTTAGTTAAAATTTTAATTCTTAACAGGTACTTTACTTTGATTTGTTAACACACTTATAATAATCAGTTGAAGGATTTACTAACATAATTTATTAAATACATTTATTATGGGGCCACAAATATATAAAATGTGGACTGAGTTGTTGATTTTAGAGATAATGTGTACAGGTGTGTATGATTAGGTGGGTGGGCACAACCCTCTGCAGAAAAAAATTCTGCAATAATTATCCTGAGATTCTAAAAGTCTATAAAAAGTCTTTAGTCCAAAATCTATTAAGGATGCTACCTGAAAATATGTGAAATGTTTTGTTATTGTCATACTGTTGCTTTGTGCTTTCCTTATTGAACTTGCTAGATTTTGCCCTAGAAACGGTCATATTTAGTCCACCATTCCCCTTTGTATGTTTCAGTTTTTGTTTGATACACCAGTGGTCCCTAAACTCTTGCAGAGTCTAGGTTTCCCCAGGGACCCTAAGTCAAAAAAGCAGTACGAGCCATCTTGCAACCATAAGTCCGAGCTTCTGAACACAGTAATTACTCAAGTGAGTTACTGGTTGGTACCAAGCCCGCTAAATTTTGTGCCTGTGATATTGTACTGTAAGAGGAAATAAAATTATGAAAATTGTGTAATATTTCACTGTGCCTATATGATGTAGCTGCGGCTCCTCAGAGCACAACCTGGGAACCACTGGGTTATGCAAAACAGACAGTTGAGAAAACCTGAGAAATATTTCTTAACATGGTTTATTGTGACTTCATTTTATTGCATTATTAATTATTGTAATTTGTATGCATACATGGGGATGTCAAAAAATGTATGAATGAAATGGGGAGGTGGTAATGAAAATTTGATTATTTTTTGCTTACATAATATATGGATGGCCCCTATATAATCAATTAACATAGGATTTAATTATATAATTAATTAAAGGGTTTAAATATTGAACTTACAATGATAAATTACTTACGGTCCATTTTGAATCTCTCCTATTTATTTTTGTAGGCATCCTTTCAGCTTGACGAGACCATTTTGTAATTGTCTTTGCCTTATTGTCTTTTATTTCAATTTCCACAGTGAAACCATAATCACTGGTAGGATAGAATGAAGGATAATACAGTAGCAATATATATAAGAATGAGTTAGGGTATCCATATAATGCTAAAAAAAAACGACTCAAATTAAATTTGTTTGGCTATTGCATTATTAAAAGAATGATAGGGTTTTTTAAATTATTATTTCACTGAAATCAAATCAATTTAAATATAATAACAATAAAGTATATCTGCTTATATTCAAGTATATGTTTAAGCTTTATTGTTATGAATTATAAATACATTTAAAATAACAATTAAAGAACTATTTTAAGTATATTATCTGAATTTGAAAGTTAAGATATTCTTTGTATTATCAATAATTTATCATCTTAGTTTTACTATTATTAATTCAAAGTCCCATTTATTGTAGAAACCCAAACATCTGTTGCTTTTTTCACTGTGTTGTTAATATTGGCAATATTGGAAAATTAAATTTAAATTTAATAATGTGATCATTGTCAGCTGAATGTTATATTGCAACAAAAGCTTTTGCTGAATTTTTTCCATGTGAAAAACTTATTTGGGATTGAGTATCTTAGAAGCTATAGCCTACTATAAAAAAATGAATGCTTGATTAATACAACTGACAGTCACACTGTTTCTAGAGTGGCTTACTCATTAAACCAGTCAAAAGACACTTTTCCATGTTTAGGTTTGAATTTATCCTTGGTAGGCTCTAGACCTTGAACAAATAATACAACTTCCACAGTCCCATCATTCATATCAGTTGTTCTCACTGAAAATATTGAAAATAAAACTTATATTATGAATTTTCAAAGTCACATCACAAATTATAATTCTCTAATGGCTTTAATGCTGTGTTCAACAAGCATAAGCTAGGTACATGTAAAATTCCCAGAAAAATAGCACTTGTTACAAGTGGTAGAATTCTACCACCAGCAAATAGGTTTCTCTCATACATACAAAAAAAGACACAGTATTTGATTAATTTTTTTTTTTTTACTCCACTGAACTGTCCTAAGACATACTGTTATCAGTGGTAATAATAATAATATATCTAATCTAAGTCTAAGTGCTAAGCTCCTGTAAAGAGTACACCCAAAAGACACACAAATATCAGTAAATTGAGTAAGCCTAAGTCACCCTAAGTCTGAGTTGAGGGCCAGTAAGTGTAAAGATTAAGTAAGACCTCTTTCTTACTCTTACTAAGTTAGTGTCTTACTCTTAGTTTCTTAGTCACACTTAGTGCTTGCCGGCACTTCTTCACAAAAAAAAAAAAGTTAGTGTCCCAGTCCCAAGTCATTGAAATCATGAAGTTATAATTATATAAAGAAGTTTATAAAGTAAAGTGAGAGGTTAAAAGTTTTGATCTCATTCAATTATAATATTGAATTTCAATCAACAATAAAAAGTCACTCAACAGTTGATACGGATTGAAGTGACTGTAGTCTGTAGTACAGTACAGTCAGACTGTACAGTAACTGACAGTGACAGTTGATACTCCATAAAAATATGCCTACCTCGGGGGATTCTTGAAATCGTTGTAAAGTCAGTCATAATTATGAAAGACTATCCTAAAACTTTTGGCCCACTTTTAAAAGTTTTAGTTTTAAAAATGCTCTCACTCTCGTTTAAAACCTTTTCCTGCTTTCTTCTGGATGACGCTTTATTTTAGCTCTGTCGATTCTATAAATATAACTATTGTAGAGTTAGACATGGTATTCGATACTGACTGTCGGAATATAAAAAAACAATTATTTTTTGCAAAAAAATTATTATTATTTATTAAGATTTCTCTTGTGCGATAATGTTAAAAGGGAAATAATTGAAACTGAGGGTAATACAATCATTTAAACCAGTAGTTGTAGAGTGTAGTGTAGATTTAAGTAAACAATCGTGTGTCTTGATAGTCACGATATTATTAGAGGGTTTCCCGATATTAGATGGTGATTCTAGTCTAGTGATTCTTAATTGACGAGCGATAAAGTGCAGATTTACCTTGTTATTAAATATTATTTACCTGTTTGCCTTAAGTCTGTATCTAATAATATCAAATCATAAATTATATTTAATTTAAGTTTAAATATTCACTTCAGAGTTTAATTAAAATGATATTAAGGATGAATGGTAAACAAAGAAAATCATATGGAATCGAATACTTCCAACTTAAGATGTTTTTTATACACAAGAGCTCAGCTGGTAACGTTAGCAACTATCATTAAAAATTTCACCCCATCCCATGTGGTGTGAAATACCCAGGAAATTGTATTTAGTTAGCCTAATCCCATGTCTAATTTCTAGTTGTCGCTGCCTTTATAAAATAATATTTAAAAAATCAGTTTTTATGCAGCAGAAAAAGCTTTTGTGGTGAATATATTATATTAATATTTCACGTGGTAACTAACTCTAATTTAATATAATTTCGACATGACATTAATGACACTTACCCCTCTTTTGTGGCGGCCTGAAACATCATGAATCATAGGCCATTTTTTAAACCTTGCATACGTGTATTCACTAATGCAAAAAATATCACTCATCCAAATGAGATCAAACCCCTATGACTATGACTATGAGTAATTATGAAGTGCAAAAAATGTGTTTGCGTACAATTCAGCCCAAGATACGCTTCAGAATGAAGGGTTGAATTTGATAAATTTTAACCTACTTAGGTACATATATATGGGGGGGGGGGGGGGGGGTGTAGGAATAGGGATGTAAATTTTGATGACAAAATCTTTAAATCCACTGATATTGTGAAAAAATAGTTTTTACATTCTTTTTACAAATAAACATGTGTTCACCGATAAAGAAAATCAATGGCTTTTACAAAACATGGGTACATTTACAATAAGTATACCCATGAATATCAAAACCAAATAATTTGTCACACTTGAAAAATGGAGATGGGCTAAGATTTTCTATTTTAAAAAAATGAAAATATATTTTTGTTTGCAAAAAGTAAACTTTCTGGACATTACACTCACTCTTCACAAAGACAACCTACTCACCTCTGCCTACTTTAAGCCCACTGACAGCCACAGCTATCTACTCTACTCTTCATCCCACCCTAAATCCTGTAAAGACTCTATTCCTTTTTCTCAATTACTTCATCTTCGTCAACTTTATCAGTCGGACGAGGACTTTTAGGACAAAGCACTTGAGATGATAGACTATTTCTGGTGTAGGTCTTACCCGGAAACAGTACTTTCATCAGCCCTCCAAAGGGTTAAGAATATTACCCGTGCAGATGCCTTCAGGCCACGTCTGAGCGACAACGCTGCCCCCTCCCACTTTGGGACCAAACAATGTGGACGCAGCCGTTGCAACACTTGCCCTTTTGTTGTCCAGACTCAACACATATGTTTCCCTAAGGGAAGTTTTCAGATACGCGACAGTTTCCTTTGTACAAGCCGCAATGTTGTCTATGCCATTGTCTGCACCCGCTGCCAGATGACGTACAAAGGGAAGACTGGACGCAGACTCTCTGACAGGTGTACCGAACACCTCTGTTACATTACACAAGATAAACAGTGTCCCGTCTCCAAACACTTCAATAGTAGCGATCACCAGGGTAAGACGGACTTTTCAATAAGTGCGATCATGGCTAGCACGAACACACCCACCCTGACTTATGGCACATTGATGCCACATGGGATAAATGTCATGTCTCTTGTCACAGCTTGAACCTAGCTCCGCCCCTCCACGTCCCGACCTATTGCAGTGGACTTACTTCTCCTCTTTTATTTCGCTCTTCCCTATTTAATCTTTCACTCACTTACTTTCTGTCACATTTCTTTTGCTGTTCACGGATACTACTTCTAAGCTAAGTGCTATTTTTTATTTTTATTACTGTTTTTTTCTGTTGTTTTGTTCGCTGACGAAGGCTTTCTGTCGACACGTTCGTTGTTTTGTTGCGTTCCTTTTTTCAGGTTTAACCCTACTTTGTTTTACTCATTTTATATTGTGAAAAGTAAAGTGGGTGTATATTGTTTATAATATTAATACAATTTTTGTAAAAAATACACTCTAGGCTGTTACAGAAGTGAAAAACAGTTAAGAGATTCTTCTTTAGAGAAAAAGAAGGTTAGTTTTACATTTTTCCGAAAACATCGTAGAAGGAAAAAGTTTGGTTACATTTTTAATGAAGAGATCAATATATCAAATTCCGTTAATATAAAATTTATTTAAAATGGTATATAGAGTTTTTGTTGTAAATTTAAGATTAAGTTTAAACAATTTATAGCGAAAATAAAATTTAGTTTTAATAAGGGAACGAAAAGTAGTAGGGTGGGCCCAACATGACATCTTAAGTACTTCTCTAGCGTTGAAATCGGCCATCAACGAACTGCTATAGTGACAACATTGATTTAATTAGGGATCATTTATTTAGATTTGGTAATTTAAAGAATATGTCTTAAATTTTTTTAGTAATGTTAGAAACGTAAATATCATTACATAGATATTTCTTTTTATAATACTTAATTGTGAGGAGTTTTCACATCAGGTTGAAATTATCACAAAGTGCTTGCCATTATTATCTCGATAACATGGGGTGCTTTGTTCTAGGCTACATATAACTGTATATATTTATATATATGACCAAACCTTTGTACCAATGACTGCTTCTATTAATGCATAGACATTTCTTGTGAACCCCTTAGTAAACTTATGGGATCTCATTTTTCAAGGGAAGGCAGAAGAGTGAAATGTGGGAAAATTACCAGATGGAAGAATTTTACGTACAAAGCAACAACCACCAATGACAGCTTTATACTCACTCTAATAATTGGCAGCTTTACATTCACTCTGATAAATGACAGCTTTACATTCACTCTGATATTGACAGCATTAAGTTCATGAGTAGCAAAAGGATGGCCTTTTATTTGGAATCTAATAACATTAACATAAAATAAAAATAATAGAAATCTACATGAATAAATAATGTATTTCTAAAATAAATTAACACAAATGTAGGAAGGAAAGGGGAAGGGTAAGAGGGGTGGTCCGGATGGGGCGGTCTCCCTGGATGGCACATTTTTGTTTTATGTGTGTGTGTGGGGGAGATATTTTCAGCCAACTGATAAGTTTATTTGTGAAAAAGGGCGGGAAAATTTTCGACCCGCAACAGGCGGCACTATTCTGTTATAGCTTTGCAGCTGATAAGAACTAAAAATGATCACAGCATGCAATAATTGTGCTAAAGAATTATCTTCAGAGGTATTCTCGCGCAGTGACAGAAATTATTAAGAAATTACTAATAATATACAGCAAATAAATGAGATAGTAAAATTATTGATGACTTGTGATGCAACGGTTAAATTACGGCTACGTGAAATTAGGAAAATAATATATACAAAGAAATAGATGCATATTTACACATCAATCAACATACAAATACAAACGTCTGAAGCTTGATTCTACTAGTGTTGTTGTCGTGTCCCCCCCCCCCCCAACAAGAAAACAAACTGAAATTAGGAAAATAATATATACAAAGAAATAGATGCATATTTACACATCAATCAACATACAAATACAAACGTCTGAAGCTTGATTCTACTAGTGTTGTTGTCGTGTCCCCCCCCCCCCAACAAGAAAACAAACTTCAACACAGCTTATTTAGCCAAAGTAGAGGGATCCGATAGATAATCTTCCAGAATCTAGATTATTTTCGCTGGTAATTTTGCCGTCGGAAGATTTTGCCAGCCACGAATAAAAGCAAAGTTAATAAAAAAGATAACAAAAAAAAAAAACCTTTGAAAAAACGTAATTTGAACAGATAATACAAGAAGCAGGTGTACAATCATCAAAATATGTACTGGGTGTAGCATTAATTTTTTTTAAATTTATCAAGCAGACATATAGCTCTACTAATTTGTAAATAAAACAGTATTTTAGAATAAAACTCGGGCCCTGCACTTAAGTGTCATTTTGTTCGTTTTCAGATCCAGCTTCAGAACCACTGCTGCCAGCTTGATCAAGTCCCTTTTCCATTACTTTTTTCATCCAAGGTTCTGCCACAGCTTTGACCATAGTTATAACAAGCTTCCCATCTTCGACCTGTGTAAATGTAAGACTTGAAATGTTACTGTCAAATGACTTTGAAAAAGCGTGGGGCGCCCATGAAATCAATGTTCTTTGTTTCAGCTCATTCGGAGATCAAGAAGTGGGGCAAAATTGACTTGCAAGATCTGACCACACACAAACTAACAAACAGACAGAGCAGCCCAGGGACGTCGTTTGGATTGGGCAGGTTGTTGCATTTGTCCCCCCCCCACCCCCCCAATATGACGCACCTGGAGCAATCTACGAAAAAGATCAACATCATTGCATTTTGTGGTCGCTCTACACTTGTTTTGGACATGACTATAAAAACTCTAAAGTTTTTGGAGGCATTAAGAAGACTTTTTAGTACATATTCGTACAAGCTTGATTTCTTAAAAGTATTTTTTATATTGTTTTATTGTATGGTGTTCCATGCATCCAATTGCCAGTGAGATGAAACCAAAGGAGCCCCTTCTTTGAACGAAGTTTTTAAATTTAAATAATAACATAAAAAAAAACAAAACTGCAGCTCATGGACCCTTTAACACTATTCATGAAACCCAAGGAGTCAGTGGATCACGGATTAAGAAGTTCTGACTTATATAATCTTGATTATTGTAATTAAAAAAATACTCACAGTCCATTTTGAATCCTTAATATTTATTTTTGTAGGCAGCCTTTCAACTTGGTGTGCCCATAGTGTCCTTGCCTTTGCCTCTTTGTCTTTTATTTCAATTTCCACAGAGAAACCATAATAACTGATAAAATAAAAAGAAGTGTAGTAGCAATAAGAAAATGAAATATACAAACATATATTTGAGATATGTACATTCAAAAAAAAAAAAAATCCCCTTCAATACTGTTTTTGTTTTTTAAAGTAAAAAATTAAGTGTTTTCAAAATCAAAAGTCGATAATTCAATGATTAAATTTAAAACCATATTTCACATGTTGTGTGTTTCATTTTGAAAATTAACCTGAAAATGTCTAATGGCAATGAAACAGGGGCTTGTGTGGGAGATGAGTTCACATTTATACTGTTATGTTTTCTCTGTTTTTATTTCCTACAGTAAACATTAACATAAATTACATAAATACAAGTTCTCAGTAATGTTGACTTTCTGCTTGATGGGTGGCCGAGCGGTTTAAAGCGAGTCAATCCCAAGCTAGTTGACTGGAGTTTAAATAGGAAAGCTGTATCAAGACTGGAACTAATAACATACAATTAAAAGAAGATGAAACAAGCAAATTTTAAGCAAAAGCCCAGAATATATTTATATAGGTTTAATGAGCTGAGTGTTTATAAGCAACAAATACAATTTAGTTTCATTATAATCTAGATCAGGGGTCTCCAAACTATGGCCAGTGGGCCTCGGGCCCGCAAGGCCATTTCATCCTGCCCCCTGATGGTACTTGAATTTGCTTGATAAAATGTATGTTTACCCTCAGAAAAGGAAAACTTGTTGAATTTTACCCCTGCTAACCTGATTTTGAGTTTCTGAAACTGAAGAACTTTGCCGCTGGTATGGCATCAGTGTTTGGAACAACTTATGCCTGTGAGCAAAAATTTTCAAAAATGAGGTATGTGAAGTGAACACATCGGGCGAAAGTGACTTATACTTATAAAAATTTGAAAACAATTGTCTTGACTGGATGCAGTAATTCGAGACTAAACATTGATGAAATCTTGAAAGCCAAAATTCAGTTTTTAATAATCTCACTAACCTTTTTTGCTGCTTAGTTTGTGATATTCGAATATGTACGCACTAGGTCTGATGTAACAATCTTTTTCTAACGTCGCCTTAATTAATAACTTTTTTTAGACAATAAATATGTTGGTTGTCTTTGTTTTTTTTTTACATTGCACGGCACTAACCCATGATTAACATGGAATACTAAACTTAGTTTTTCGTGAAAAAGTTTGGAGACCCCTGATCTAGACTAATATTGTAAAATTGAAAAGCAGAATTTTTGTAAAAATAAGGATTAATTAAAATAAAAATAATTGTTACATATTGATACGGTATCTACCACCCTCACAAAGCTTTATAAAAAAATATAACAAAAGGATAAACCTCCCCCACCCCCCTTGCATAATATATGTTCGCATAATATAATATGTGCATGGTCCCTTACACTTACACAAAGAGGCAAACAAGGCAGCTGCGGTAGGGCAAAAACAATAGAAAATCCTGGGTCAATACTGCAGCCGGAGATGTTTAGTTCAATATATTATTGTAATATATCTCTTGTACCTATGGGCTACTGTACAAGAAAAGATAGTGCCAGAATCGATCTATTTTAATTAGCCTCTGCCCACAGACAGAAACAACACCAGCACAAAATCGGTCCCGATCAATACGAAGGTATAACATATTGCCAATTATACAGCTAGTGCTCGACTTATGACCTATGCAACTTAGGACCATTCGACTTTACGAACACAATTACTAGCCATACTATACTGTATTATTAGTGTATTAGTATTAGTTTAGTTTTTTCAGATTTATTTCTGCCTCAATTATCATTCAAACGGCGTTATCTGCAATCATCGGCGGTCATGAACATTGAAAATTATGATTTATAGCTATAATAAAAGAAATTTATGATATAATTTAACTTACCTGGCTAATTCAGATTGATGAGCCCGTGACGTCATTTGCTTGTTTATTAAAGTTGCCGTGAATTAGCCCAATTACTAATTAGGCTTTAATTAGGGTTCAGGTTAGGTTTAGGGATACATTTTAGGGTTCAGGGATACATTTTAGTTGTTCAGGTTAGGTTCGTGGGTCGCGATAGGTATCACTTCACATTTCTGTAGACTGTAGTGTACACATAAATAATATCGTACTCAACTTAAGACTTAAGACCAAATCGTGTTACGACTTGTCTGTCCGAATCGATCGAGGTGAGCATGTACCTATGCCTATACTATACTTTACTTATACTGTGGTTCATCTTTAACACCTAATTTTGCCTATGCTGTTTTAAATGTTAGGTTTTCTTAAATATTTATTAGCTAATAATTAAGAAAGAATTTATTCCTACCTTTAGGTATTCGTACATCTGTAGTAAATTCAGCCATACTTAATGATTCTTGAAAACTTGGTTTAAAATTCACTATATTATTCAAGTTCAAGGTTGCCAGATTAACATTTTGAAAGAGGCCAAAATGAACCATAAGAAGGCCAAAAATTGGCCAAACTTTTAAAATCACTTTTTAAAAAAAAAATATAGCGTCTATTTTCCGAATCCTCAATTTTCTGAAATTTAATTTAATATTTGAATAGCCCTATGTTTATATTATTATTGTAACAATAAGCATGGCATGTTTGCCTACCAACAGAGGCGTAGCGTGGTGGGGGCAGGGGGGGGGGGACAGATGTCCCCGGGCGCCAGCTAGTTAGGGGCGCCAAAATGTGCTTTGATAATATTTTATTGATGAAAATAATGGGTTTGAGAGTTGAAAAAAAGAAAAGGGGCGCTAAAAATGGATCTTGTCCCCGGGCGCCAAACACCCTCGCTACGCCACTGCCTACCAACAACAGTAAGCAATTTCTATCATGTCGCACAATCCAGGTAAAATCTAGATACACACTGCATATTGTAGCGCAGTGCTACTCAAAGTGGTGGTCCGCGAGCCTTACGTCCGGTCCAGAGAGCATGAATATTGATGTTTAAATAGTAAGAAAATGCAATTAATAAATCTGGCACCGGTCCCTGGTGCAGTTTCGAAACTTGTCCACCGGTCCGTGAAACTTAAAAGTTTGGGAAACGTTGTTGTAGAGAACCTTAGCTCGTCTCTGTTCTACTTTTGTTCTCTATTTGTTGTTTGGATGGTAACACTTTTGCTTTGGCTTTCTCCCATCTCGCCCTCAACTCTGACTGTCCCGGTTGTCTCTCTCTACTGTGTCCTCACGGCTGTATCCGGAAAATTTGTTTGAAAAATTTTTTTTTGAATTTGAACGCATTATTTTCTTTTACTATATAGTATAGTGCGTTCAAAACGAAATTTGACGAAAATTCGATCGTGTGCACTGAAAATAAAATTCGATCAAATCTCCGTTTGATCAAACTTCTGTCGATAAATTTTCCGTTGACGAAATTTCTTTCATTTTTCAAACAAATTCCGGTAACCCTTCAAGACGGTCCTCTACTCCTATCCGGCGGAGTTCTACCTCCCGACTACCCTCTTCCCTGTCCGGTTGAGCTCTATAGTTCCGTCAAGTCTCTGAATTGGTCGTAGAGTCATTAAAGATTCTCCCACATGGCTTTAATCTATTGCCACATCTCTGGTACTAAAATTTGTTCCTACGCTCCCGCCGTTTAAATGGACATTATCTTGCCACATAACGTTCGTACTAGCCTCGTCACAGTGTAATCTGATATGCTACAACCGTTGGCCTGTCTCCATACGGGGTTCCCCCCCCCCCCCCCAACTCAGGTTGGAACTCTCCACAATATGCATTGACTAAACTGTGGCTGTACATGCCGTGACCAGGCTGTGCATGCGGCGACCAAGCTGTACTTAAGGTGACCAGGCTGTGTATGCATTGACCAAGCTGCACATGCAGTGACTAACTTGTTAATTAATGTCTTTCGCAGGATAAATGCTGTAAACACGAAATCACCCCGCATTTTATTCTAATTCTGATGTTCACAAGATGTTGCGGCCTATCAAATTGGCATTGGATTAAAATAGGAAATAATAATTGTGTAATATCACTTGCCACTGCCCCAGCTCTAAGTCATAACTGTCTTAAATTTAATAAAAATTGAAAAAAAGTGGGTTTCTTTTATTTAGGGTGGGGTGAAAAGACTAATTTGTACAGACGAGGTGGGGGCGTTTCAAAATATAGGGGCGGGCGGTAAGAAAAGTAGACTTTTTGTGGATATATGAATATACTGAACAATACTGTCATATCTAAATACATCAACTAAACTCCTTTAATTTTATCTAAATTTATCATAAATTGGTTAAAGATCAAACCCTGGCCCTCATTTCATCTTTTCAAAAATATTTTTCAACCATTTATGTTAATCTCAAGTTTTCATTTTTTTCCTACTTTTTCTACCTTAAACTTAAAATTAATTTGAAATAAAAAAAGGGACCTGGAGTTTTTGTATTTTTGGTTTGTTTAGATACAAACACTGCTAAACACAAACACTGTTAATATTAATCAAACACAAACAAACACTGTTAATCAAACACAAACTGTTAATCAAGCTCAAACAAAAAAAAAAATTATAAATAACAATATCAAACAGATTTTATTGAAATTAAAATACATTTTTCTTTTGTGAAAACTAACATTTAGTTATTTTTTTGGTTAAAATCAGATTTGGCATTTTTACATTTGTTATATAATGATTCACTCAGGCTCTTAAAACAGCATTGAATGAAGTGATTTTCTAACATTTGACATTTCTTGCTGTTGCTGGAATAATACAAGTACAAGAAATATATTATTATTTGGGCTTTATTCAACATTCTTTCAATCCAAATTATTACATTACATCATCAGTTGCTATTGTGACATAATAAGATGATGATTTTATAGATAAAAAAAGGACTATATTTTTTATGGGTTTTGTATCATATATATTTTTGTTGTTTAAAGAGTTAAGATGCATAATATCTTTATCACAATGCATAAATTATAAAGACCAACTTCTCTGCCCCAACTGTTTTCTTAAAAATGAATAAGTACTCTCAGCCACTTGGTTTTAAAATAGTTATTCGACAAGACTACCATCATGCTCATTGAGCCAAGAAAATAATAGCTATTTTGAAAATTATAATTAATATTTGTGAGCTGTATATGAATTGCTTTGAATTTTCAATCCTTCAGAGTGCATCTAAATGTTCAAAATAAATGGCACGTAAGTGTATGAAACTGTAGCAACTAATTGATCTCAACATTATTAAGTATGGACCATACTAGGATGTCATACAAGCAGCAGAAATAAAGAGAGGACAGGTTGTGCTGGGTAGGACACTTAGAATTAGAATGAATATCAAAATTACAGAGCAGCGAAGAGGGTGCACCACAAAAACCCACGAGGAAAATAGCTTAAAGGCAGAGGCTAAGATGGATAGGCAATGTGGAAACAATTTACAGCAGCTGGGAATCCAAGCATGGAAAAGCAAAGCTGTAGGGCCACAGAAATAGATGGATAAACATTAGAATATGTACCACTACCATTTGATGTCTGACCAGAGTGTAGTTTAAAGGAAGAATAATATCTTCAATCTCATAATTTGAGCCACTTTCATGGACTCTTTACTTTCTAAACTATTGCTATAGCCAGCACTTAATAAGTGGTTCAAGTTTAACATTTGCTTCTTTTAGTAAATATATAATTAAGAATTTACATGAATGTACATCTTAGTGTTGGAGGAAAAGTGTCAAGGCATGCTGTATCACAATAACTTTTAACACTTTCAGTTTATTCATATGTTTTTTTAATACTTCCACTTTCTCTAGGAGGGTTCTATCAACCAATATTTTTAATTACATATGTCAAAACTTACAGTATCCATTAGAATACGTTTTTGGAGAAGCTGCATTTCTTTTTTCAATTCAGTTTGGAGAGATGTCTGCTGAGTTTGTCGATTACGTTCTAATTCCTCAAGACCCTAAAGATTAGATGTGATAATATTTTTTTATTTAAATAAATAGAGATGTGTTTTGATTAAATTTTACATATTTATTTTCAGCAATTAAATAAAAAAATTAGAAATACAGACTGTAAACAATTGTATGGAAATAACAATTATAAACCAGGAAAATGTCAAAGCAGTAAAGATTGAAACATAAGTAAAAACATTTGAGAAAAATTATAAAAGGTTACAAAAGAACAAGACCCAGAAGAGATCAGCCTAATAAAGGACACATTTGATTAATTTATAATAAAGAAGAAATAAAGAAGAATAAATTTACATTTTTCCAAGGTTAGTGTTGTCAACAACAAACAAGCAGATATGACATCTGATTTTAAGGTGATATCAATTACTTTAGTAGTTGAAATACCTCTTATTTAAAGAAGGATGGAATCATACAAATTGAAATGAAACCCAAGATCAAGTGATGATTACCATTATAAACTGTTCACTTATTTCTCTAACAGATTTGAGTCTTTGGCTCTGCACTATTCTTGACTGCTGAAATAATTTCTGCTGCTGCTTAAACAGGTTCTAATGAGATTTAAAAAAAAAAAAACTTTTAGTACTTGATGTGGACAAGTTTGTAAAAACTAACTTTTATATTTATTACCCCCAAACTGATCAAATCCTCTTGAATAATATAACTTAATGGTCAATAAGTCATTTAATAAAATACAGTAAAAAGCATTAATACCTTAATTACTGTATTCTAAATTCTAAATGTTACAATTTTGACCCCATTTAGTACTTTCATAATGATTTCAGTAGGCTAAATTATTTGAAAATCAAGTTTGTAAAAATTGACTTTATCAAAATGAAACTAAAAATAGTAAAAGTGAAAATACACACATTTAATTTTTCTTCTTGCTCTTTTGTCTTTTCAATATCTGACTCCCATTGTTGGTACACAGCATTTATTTGCTTACTGAATTCCTCTTGCAATTTAGTTCTGGTATTGAGGTATAATAACATTAGCACAATGACAAAAATACATATTTTTGAAAAATGCATATTTTTGAAAAATGCATATTTTTGAGAGTTTAAATTTATTATTTCACTAAATACTGCATGTGCCAAAAGTAACACTACTGAAACTCTTGCATCTTGAATGCATAATTAAATCTGGTACCTTAACTGGAGAATTAATATCATGATCCAGAACAATGGTGTAAAAATTATCTGCATGATTCTGAATAATTGTAATGTAAAATCATATCAAACTTAACAATGACAAAGGAATGATAGTTTTTTTATTTTACAAAATGCACTGAATATTCAAGATGAAACACAACTTTTACTTTAATACTTGGGCATACCTAACTAGCTGCTGAGTCTTCCAAATTTCCTCAACTTTTTTGTTGGCATTCTTTAGTGAGTTTTGGGTCAGTTGTTCCATTCTTTTCTTTTTATGACTCAGTGTTTTAGAAATATCAGCTGAAAAAAATCAACCTCAAGCCAAATTTGATCAACAATATTATATTATAATAGGAAAATAGATAACATTAATCAATGCAATTACAATGTTCTGGTAAAGGTTTTCTCTGCTTAAAAAAAACTAAGTGATCACAAGTTTCATATATTCCTAAAAATATATTTTACATTCTTTTGTTATCAATTTTGTAATGTGTTTAATGTCTAGTATTCATTAATATAGATCTGTGAAAACAGAAGTTTACCTCCAAATCCTTCCAACATTTTTTGCATTTCATGGCTGTAAAAAATAATAAAAAGTAAAATCATTATAAATGTAAATTGACTTTAAAATACTTCAAACAAGTTATAAAAAGCAAATAAGAGTCATGACCAGGTAATAATACAAAAAGTATCTATGATTATATTCAAGTAATAATTAAAATATGATTTTTTAAAATTAAAATGCAATTCTGGATTTTAACAACAAAAAAAAATTGTTAAGAATATAGCCATGTTGTGTAGTACCATGTAGTTCACCAAGATGACCAAGTACATCATCAATAAGCAAAATATTTTTTCCCTGGTCAGCATCTAGTTTTTTATTTTTACTTATGGTTTCTCCTCCCTAATCATTTTTGCCTTAAACTTAAAGCTAAGTCCATTGTACCTAACTAACCTAACTATAAGCCCATATATAGGCGTGAAAAATCCACAGATGAGACTCAAATCTGCTACCTCTAGGCTTTAACTCTAGTAGAGACTCTTACCAATTAGTCTAATAACTAATAGTAATAGCTACCTGAAATCAGCAGGATCATAATCAACATCGGCTATTCTCTTTTTTCCAGGGCCTGGATTTATTAATATTGGAGCTTCTGTATCTGAAATAAAGATTTAAATTTAAAAAAACATTTTCTAAGTACTTCAGCTAATCTTTTTGCAATTAATATGCAATTTTAAAATGCATTGCCTTTGCAATTGTTACTTTTGGAGAGGGTGCCAGACTAGTACAAATAAAAAGGAATAATGTAAATAACAGAAAAAGTTGGCAACTCCCAGTTACAATAAATCAAATAGCTTTAACTTTAACACACACAGCAATTATAAAATTATATATATTTAAATATATATATTTTTTTATGTAGTATGCGTATGATGATTAGTCAGTAGTCTTGAGGGTATAGTATAGTCAATGTTAAGTTACTGCCAATTACTATTAGTAAAAAAAGTATTTTATTTTTTTTATTAGCCAACTTGGGTAGCCCCAACTTGAAATTGCCGCCAATGGTCCAATGTCAATGGTGCTAGTCTAGTATTAGACTTAAAATTATAAACAAATTTAAAGAAGGACAATATTGCCGACATGCATTCTTAGGCTTTCTTAAGTTTCTTATATTTATATGGGGTAGAAATTATTTACCTGGTGGTCTAACTGGACTACTACTGTTCTCACTCTGATAATTTATGTCATCTTCAACATCCACGACTTTAAGTTTTTTAGGCTGTTGAATGTCTTCAGTCTTTTTTATTCGAGGCATGCTAAAACTGTCAATAATTTTCCTTAAATTTTGATTTTAATATAATGTCTGTATGAAGTCCAAAGTGTCAGTTCTTTCTGAAAATCTAAATGTAAGGCAAGCGTGTATTTTACTGTAATGCTTATAACTTATACGAAAAAAACTGCTGCGAAGCAGACGACAAACTTTTAAAGGGAAGGTACTTTAACAAAATTAAAGCCGGAAGTTATAAAAGAAATTTATCTACCCTGTTGGCATGTTTAAAAATGGCAGTTTCAGCGACAATCGAGAAAGCAAATCAAATAATAGACGAGCCTTCGTTAGCGGAAGATGTAAGTGTAACCGATGAAGATAAATGGTGGGCTCGGACTTAACGCTTGATAAATGTAACACTGTTACTTTTATCACTTTATGTCAATAAGATTATGATATGTTTTTAATCTTTTGGGGTTGTTGCTGTACTGTACACACCGGTATACACACTAAGTTAAAACTAAAAAAAAATGTGAAGGCCTTTGTCATAGTCATAGTCATAGTCTATAGACATAGTCAGCCCTAGTCCAACTCTCTATTATAGTGTATGAAGTACTATATATAGTGTTTTTGCTTGTACTTATACATTATAGATAGTCCAGGCTATACATAGTATAGGGCCGTGTTTTGTAATAAAGTAAGAATCTTACAAAGACGTCTAAGTCTAAGTTATAGCTAAGCATGAACTATGAACTGACACCTCTCTTTTGTCTTTGTTGTGAATTTGATCAATTAACTTGTACAACTATCCCATTAATGAATAGGAAAAGGTAATACAGTGGAACCTCTCATAACGAGCATAATTTATAATTCGTTCCCATAATCTTACTCATTAAGCGAAACACTCGTTAAACGAAACAATTTTTCCCATAAAAATCAATGTAAAATACGAAAATGCGCTCCATGCTGAAAAAATACTAATTTTTCAAAAATTTTTATTAATATTTATTCAAATAAAATTACTTATGAATTTTTAAGGAGTATAACAACTTGGAATACAATTTAGAAAATTGTATCAGCGAAAATAAGTTTCGCCTTCTCACAAATAATGTTTTCTTTAATAGTGTCGCCTTGTAATCGCTTCTGGTTTACCCATATTAGTAGCAACCTCTCAACATCATCAAGAATATGTAATCGTTTCGTAGACATTCTTGACACTCCCTTTGAAGCATCCAACTCCTTAATTTTGCTTTTGTTATTAAGAATAGTGCAGATTGTTGATGTTGACCCATTGTATGTGCGCGCTAGATTAGCCACGCTCACACCTTGTTCTCGCTTTTCAATGATTTTACGTTTCAGTTCAAGTTATTTTTTCTCTCTTATGATTGTCTTCTTGTGTTTTTTTTCTTCGAAGACATTTTAGCACAGGTTATTACACTTTGCACATAAAAAAATTAAAAATACTGTCTGAATACAAAATTTGTAAAAACTTGTGATCACACACGAAAACAATACGCTAACAGAGTGCTGAACACAGATCAATGTATCGGCGCGGAAGTCCCGGCTCAAAAATGAATGTCAGGAAAAAGGGACTTCCCCTTTCTGCGTAACTCGTTAAGTGAAATGTTACTCTTAAAGGGAGCAACTTCTTCACAGTTTTTTTTGCTCGATATGCGAATTACTCGTCATGAGAGATACTCGTTATGAGAGGTTCCACTGTAATTTATAATACAGGTAAAACATTTGAAAAAACTTAATTCTAATTCCTTTATTTTACAGAGAAAAAGGATGTTCTTTAATAGCCCTTTAAAATAGAATTATGTGCTGAAAGGTGCCATTCATACACACTACACACATCATAATCATATAGCTGGGGAAGGGGTCACGGATTTTCAACCATGTGTGATAAAATTTTCTTATTTATGTTAAACATTTGTAATGCAGGGGTGGGGGTAAAAATTGGGCATACATTTTCTTTTTTAATTACCATGCTGAGATTTAAAGTTCTTGACACAGTTTTGTAATTTTACAACTATTTAAAAAAGTCTGAATTTTATTTTAAAAATATGTTTTAGGAATTATTAGCGGAGCTGGAAAAGGAAGATATTCCATCTCACATTCGAGAAGCAAGACTTGAAACACTCCGGCAGCAGTCTCTCCAATTTAAGCAGCTCAAGGAGCTTTCATTTGGAGAATATACGTAAGTAGCTCATGGCATGACACACACAGAAGTACCCTTGCATGTTTACACTCTTACACAAATCACTAAAACTATGTAATGAACTAGATTATTAAATAAATAACACAGCATGTTATTAATAATGCAAGTATAGCTAATATCAATAACTAAAACAATATAAAAAATACACTAACTTTAATTATAAATTACTTCTTTTTCTTCTCTGGCAAGAAACATTAGAATTCACATCAGGGCCAACCTGGCATTGCCTGAGCACCTTTTCTTGAGTCCGTGTCCATCTCAGCTCCTCTTCATTTTTGTGATGTTTTATTCTAATGGTAGAGTGTTGATCTCGTGTCACAAGTCTTGATTTATTGCTCTGACTGTTAATGTGATATATGATTCTCATTTTAACTCATTTTTGGAAAAAGAAGTAAGGTACTAAATACCATATAACTGTGGTGTACTAAAATTAAATTTCAATAGCACTTTAAAATATTGCTGCAAAAGCAACACGCCCAAGAATATTTTGAAATAAATAAGAAAGACTCTTGTAAAGGCACCATTTTTTTTTAAGGCTACTTCCAGATGAGAAAAGTTTCCTTGAACTGACAACATCCACAGAAATTGAGCATTGTGTTGTTCACTTCTTCCATCCTGATTTTAGGAGATGTGCAATTGTGGATAGCCATTTAGAGGTAGTTAACATTTTGTTCTGAATCAAAAATGCCATATTTTAAACATCGTTTTATAAACTGAAGTGTTACCTAGTCATTTTGGGATCCCCAGACTATTATAACTTAAGTTGCAGTTATCTTATAGGAGATATAGCCATGAAAGTTTTTAACACTTATTTCATGGAATATTTCAATCAGAGAGATACACTTTTGCTTAGAAACAGTTGTTATATTTTGTGATATTATATCTTAAAACAAAGTCAATCACGAAAGCTTACACAACTACGACGCTTCACACTAATTCTATAATCACAACTCACAAACGAAACAATATTGCTTTTGAGTACAATAAGCACATGCTATTACTCAATAATAGTAAAATAGAAGTAGCTTTGACAATACAATGAATAGTCAAGTCTAATTACACCATTTTGTTGGTGGCCATCAGTCTGTGTCTTGGGTCAGCTGTCTGGATCATATTGTCATTACAAGATTGAAAATAATTTATTTACGTGAATGATTATTTTTAAATTGTTCAGAAATCAGAGATTTCAACCTACATGAAGAGTTCAGAAACAATATATGGTGAAAGCATAGCATTAAGTCAAATAGAATGTGATTGACAAAAAAACCCAAAAAAGAACAACCCTCCCACAATGGAAGGAATGCTCACCCAGCTCTGCAGGTTGAAGAGGATGATATTATTCATTAAGAATCCAGCAAGATAAAGATGCAAATGTATCTTGACATTACAGATCCTACATTCGTATACTTGATTCATTGATCAAAACTGGGATTCCTTAAAATGATGCGACATCAACTCTAAAGCTGAAATTTGGATGAAAACAGGTCATTTTAACAGATTTTTGTTTCAAAATTGATATAAGGCTAACCTTATTTAAAACAAATTATCCAATTTCAAGACTATTCTCAGGCATTTGTATCCAAGCTTTGGAAATTAAATACTGAAAACTCTGCAGTATAGCATACAAGTCTGAAGGTGAACTGAATGAAAATCTGAAATCATAGATCATGGGTCACCTTGAAGACTTTGAAAATGAATATTGTAGCTCACCACTACAAAGCCTTTTCCTTGAATGGAGCAAGCAGGGCTTACAAATGTATCTGTCAAAGGATTCCTCTATATTACCTTGTTCTGTGTACTGTTTATCTGTTGTATCCAAATATCATCATGCTGACCTTTAGAATTATACTTCAATTTGCCACTACATATTTCTGCAAGAATAAATTTATAACACATCTTCACACAATAAAAAGGAAAGAAATGGAATTGCAATTTGAAGCTGACATGAAAAAGGCTTGAATAAATACTCAGTCTTGAATTGGAAGCCAGATGCTAGCAAAGTAACTTCATTAAATGTTAGGTTAGGATTATATTCTGTACAGATATTATTTTTTGTAGAAAGCAAATTTAGAGGGAGGTCAACAGTTAAATGGTTGATTTTAAATGAGATTCAATAGTTGAAATTGACAGGAAGACACAGAATGTTTCCTGCTTTAATTTGTTTATGAAGTTTCACCGGCATCCATCCTTTCTTTGTAGTCAATTTAAATGATGAATATTTTGGGTGGCTTGCAAAATATGAATAATTTCTGTTTTTCCTTGTGCAGAATTTAAATGCTTGTTTTTTTTTTTCATTATGCAGATATTATGCAAAAAATATTTCAATACTAAGTTTGCCAAACTGAATGTGGAGAAATCAACATTTTTGGTTACAAAGCTGAAGATTCAAATGCTTCCTGCTATCTTATGCTTCAGGAGAAGTATTGTAGTTGATAGGTCTCTTATAGAATATAATTACATAAGTATAAAGTGAATTTTAAAACAATCATTGTCATTATATTTATTAAGTCTTAACTTATAATTTGTGTAAAATATTTACCCAAAATTTTGAATGTTATCATGTAAGTTACATTTTTTTGTGTTAACAATTTCTATCTAAACGTAGGCACTTTTGTTGACAGGATTATTGGATTTGAAGAACTTGGTAATACAGATGATTTCCCACTCATGATTTTGGAGAGAAGATTTGCCATGTCAGGTAAATGTCATAAAAAATGTCATTTTTACCTGTACTTCCAAACCAGTGGTTCCCAAATGATGGACCATGACAAATTGACATGCAAATTCTCATCAATTAAATATTGGTGCTGTTAAAGAAAATTTTCATTCAAGCTATTTCAACTCAGTGTAAATTAAATTCCAATTATTTCTCCACCCTATCTTAGTTTCATTTCAATAGTTTCCTTGTTTTTTGGGTGCCATCTCAAACCTAATTACTGAAATTAATTGGGTCAATCCATAAAGTATGTCACACTCCTGAGTGGGGCTCTAAGAAAGTGTGACAGTTTGTTAAAAGGTTGTTTTTTTTTAGGTTGAGTGTGATGACACACATTTTTTTTTATCAAACAAATAAAACCCTGAAATCGACAGTAATTTGTAACATTCTGTTGTGATGGATGTATTATGACAGAAGATGTCACTTTCATAAATTTAATAGTTAAATAGTAAGTGTGTTTTAGATTTAATTTTAATTAGTTGTACATTTTTATAGCTATTGTTTAGTTTGAAAGTTAAAGTTTCAAAATTGTGAAATAGGGGGTGGGGGGGGGTTGGTTCTGTGATTTGTGAAGGGGGAGGGTGGGGGAGGGGTAAATTTTTTTCTAATGCTGCTCTGAACATTGGGTTACATTGGCTTTGAGATCTTCAAAAACATTAGTTTTATTTTAATTTATCTGTTCTTTATCATTGTATTGTCTTTTGATGAAGGCTTCTAGCTGAAATGTCAGTTTAATAATAGTCTTGTCTGTTATTTTCAAGCCTAAAAATATCTTGTAGAATACTTAAGTTTAAAAAAAAAATGTTCTTAATGGAATTAACAATTAAAATATTAGGTCTTCCTCTATCTCTCCAAACTGCCTGTTTAATAATTCCCTAAGTTTTGAAGGAATTAAAAATTTAAAAAATTCTCATTTGTTCTGCTGACTCTGTTGAAGTCAACAAAATGCTATTTTTTTTAAAACGCTATTTTTTAAAAACTTTTGCAAAAGTACAAACTTTGACATAAAATAATCAGGCAGATAAAAAAATTGATTACAAATGTCCATCATTTTAAAAACATACCAATTAAAATTCTAAATTTTTCAAGATTTTGGCTATTTTTGACCAAAAAAACAGGGCACATAATTTGTTTTCTTTCATGAATTTTACATTTTCATCTCTCAGGTGTAATTAAGCTTTCAGAAGAAGATGATCCATCAAAGAAAACCGTTTTTGGAATGAAAGCTTCTTCAATAAGGCAAAGAAATGCAAGGGGTGATGATAGCAGTGATGATGATGATTAAATTCATCAAGATGCTGTGTTAACTTATGGTGTATAACTTTGCTGCAGCCAAATATGCATTTTTGATCACTTTATTTTGCTGAAAGTATAAACTAAAAATTAAACTAAATTTTTAAGTCGTTGATATTTTTTTTTAATGGACAAATATGCAAGAAGATGTAAACAACAATTAACAAATAAATACTTGTTTTTATTTGGCTTTGTAAACTAAGCAAATCTTGGTAATTAGTTTTTTTAAAAATAAAAAATTAATTTTATATCTTAAAAATATAATACGTAAAAATCTTAATTGCGTTTGAACATTTGGTTTGGTTAAGTTTCAAACTTTACTTTTAATAAACTTGACCAATGAAATTCTTGTCATGGCCTTTTTTTTTTTCATTTAAGTTGAAAAAATTCTTTAGATTTTAGTAAATAGGATAAGCCTCAATATTATCTGTTCATTTGTAAAAAAAAAGTTTACTGTTTAAACATCAGCAAATTGCTTAGAGTAATTGTTGGATAATATTTATTTTAATTTGAAACTCTTTTTGATAGCAAATTAAAATTTTAAAGAGATTTCAGTGTCCAGTTGCTGTATTAATAACTTAATTAAATTATAGAATTTTAAGCACAATTGACTTTATTCAAGCCTTCATTTTTAAAAAATTGATTTAAAAACTGACCAAAGAATCCCACAAGAATGCTGTTATTTTTGTTCCATTAAAATGGAGTAATAATTGTTTCCATTTCAACTGCAGTCCTTGTCAACCAGCTTTGTTTTTTCTCTGGTATCCGTCCATCATAATCAGTTTCTATACACTGGTAATTCTGTTTGTAATTACATATGAGATATCTCATTCAATAAGGAAGATGAATATTATTCTCAGTCCAAGTATTTAATACTTTCGTCACTATAACTATTTTTTAAATATAATACACAATGTATTGGATTATTTACAACACAATGAATTTCTCAAAGATGATAAATGGTTATTTTTAATGCTAATTTTACTAAATATATCAATTGTAAATAGGCTTTTATTCAAGAGATCAAAATACACTAAGTCTTTAATGCTGAGAGAAATGTGCATACATAAACATATATGCTTTTAAACACAGATAACATTCATGGTATACACCTAACTTTCACATTAATATTTCTGTTTGCAGAGTCAGTAAATAAAATCATTTGGCAAACATTGCAAATTTAGACAAACAGAAAACAAATATATCATACCGGTAACAATATAAACTGCCTTATTTCAGTAGAGCTTTGTCATATAAATAAATTGAAGAACAAATATACAATAATCTGAACAATGCAGCAGAGAACCAACCTATTGTTCAAAGAAGTAATATAATTGTAAAACCACTCTAAGTCAGTAGTGTGCCATTAAATCAGTAGGCCAGAAATTGAAAAAACTGGGGAAATGGGAAGAAATGACAATGTAACAACATGAAAAAACATTGTCTGATCAGCTTTGAAGTCAATTGTAAGTGGGTCAAATTATTTCAGTTTTTCAGCTTTTGAGTAATGCAACCATAAGGGTGCCAAAAATAATCTGTTCTGTGGCTAATACTTTTTTAAAGTTCATTAGAATGAGACATTGGTTGTTGACTTTCGGTCTCTGAAAAGCCATCATAAGGATACATTAAGCAGTCCAAAGTACCCAAAAGAAAGGGACTAAAAATACCCTCATTGGAGTACTCTGACACTGCTTTTCAAAATTGTTTTGTATGAAAAACACCGAAATTAAGTGGTACTTATTTATTTTAATTTTTCAATATTTAAAACTTTTTCCATTTTTGGGTTCCATGATTCTGAGTAGTGAGTAGTAAGTAGTATGAGATACAAGTTTAAAATCAGAATTATTTTTAGGGGTTAGATTTATTTAAAAGGCACTTAAAAGCATTTTAAAATAAAAATCTGTGCACATGTTAACACCCCCACCCCCGTTAAAACTGATTTTAACTTTAGATACAAGTGTGCATATAAATTATAAACCAAAATGTGAAATGAATATGATTAGAAACAATATCATTTAAATTAAAAAAATATCACAGTCACATGATCACAATAGTGTGTGGTATAGGAAATATTAAAAATACTGAGAGTAGATACAAATCTTACTTATTTATAAAGACAATATTTTAAAATTGGCAAAAATTTGTATTTAATATGAAATTGCTTGTCTAATTTTCATTGGTAGTTATGTTTCAAAGACCGAACAATGTGTTAAAATCATGAAAGATTGCCTTTAGATTTAGTTTTTCTTTTGCGGTAAAATAAAAGAAATCTCAACTCGGGTTAATGTTTTAAAACTAAAATACTTCCTAATATGTCATTTTATTAGAAATAAATTGATTGTATCATATATTAAAAAATTATATTTAAAAAAAAAATGCAGCAAATGTTTTCATTAAATATCTTTATCACAGCCTTAAGAAATTGATTCATTTTGACTTAGTGAAGGAGACCTAAGAATGTTTTTGTATACAAATGCAAACATTAAAAAAAAAAGGTACAAATATGTGATTAACAGAATAGTGAGAAAGTAAATCCAGCATTTCTCAGCAGCCACATAAGCCCTTACAAATCTAAAGGACAATAATAATATTTAAATTCAATTCAAGTAGCCATACTTAATAAATATTTATAAGTCAAATTTGACTAAAAATTCAAAAGTATAAAAAAAGAATAAATATTAACAAAAAATTTCTAAGAAAAATGTTTTTTGACATGTTCAAATTTCAAGCTCTTTTGAAAGACTGGTAGACTATCACCCAGAGTACTTAATTTTTACTGTAATTCCAAGGATTCACAAACTATATGATTTTATGTCTCTCTAAGAAAAAAACGTTTTTTTCTATTGAATAACTGAAATATACAGGAAACTGTTATAAAGTAAATTCAAACAAACTATTTTTTAAATAATTATTGAAGTACACAAAAAAATAATAATTGAGAATCAATTAAAAAAAAAAACATTACATGAAATTGTTATTTAAAAAGGATGCAATTAAATTAATACTAAGGTAAAATCAATTCAAAACATCTCTAAATATTCAATACATAAGAATTATTTCAATAAAATGTCATTGAAGTGGGAAGACTACCCTTGTTGTTGCAACATGCAGATAATTTAGACTTTATTCAACATGTTCATCATGTCTGGGGCCCATGTTCACCACGTTGTCTGGGTTACACGGGGCATTGGTGGAAGGAAGTCAGGTTGGTGCTGTGATTTAACTTGAGTGAGGCCTGCAGAAAATTTTTCATGGGGCTTCATGAATGGACTTGGGGTCTCTGTGATTGTCTAGAAAAAAAACGAAAAATTGTACATTTATTTACTGGTTAGACAAAAATTTTAGTGAGGAATCAATCAAGGGACTTTTGAAATATTGTTATGTACAGCTTTGAGCTTGCTATTGAAGAATTTAATGTAAGAAATGTAACATCAGCTAGTGAGAAGGGTGAAATAACAAAGTCTGAATTAGAGAGTACAGAATTGATGGCAAATTTTTTATTTTGAGAAATAGATTTTTAAAAAGTTCTGTAATTTCTTTGTTGCAGAGTGTATTGGCAGTGTAGGAATGAGGAAAAAAAGTGTCATTATAATTATAGATTTTGCCAATTTATAAATTTTGTTAAACAATGCTTTGAGTTCTCTCTCTTCTCTCCCCGCCCCCCCGAAACTTTAATTTTAAAATTTTTTTTAGCCTCATCCACACAATATAAGTATTTTAAACAAACTTCTAGGTTTTAAAAAAGTATTATGCTTTAAATTGCTGTACTCTAATCCCAACCCACTAGGAAACATATGAAATCAGGACCAAGAGATTGAGTTACTAAGCAGTCATTTGAATGCACAGAAAAAATACCAGAGTTATTCATAAACAGAGCATTTATCATGAGATGAGTTATTTAAAATTTTATACCTTTTCCATTTTTTGTTGACTCATGTTAATAATTTTTATTTTGATTTCTCAACACATAACGACTATTCCTTGATGCCAATGGCATTTAATAACACAGTGCAACAAAGAAGACAATAGAATGTGTAAGTGGTGGGGAATATTGACAATATTAACACACACTCATCATTTACAAATAAATTCACAAATTGTGAGAAACACCAAAGTGAAATCAGAGCCATTGAAACTAATCAAGAAATGGTAAAATCTCAGAAACCACACACCCATGAAGTAAATCTCCAGTTAGATACCAAACACCTATGAAGTATGATATGGTTTGATCCCACACACCCAAGAAGTAAATCTCCAGTTAGATACCAGACAACTATGAAGTATGATATGGGTTGATCCCACACACCAAAGAAGTAAATCTCCCAGTTAGATACCAAACACCTATGAAGTATGATATGGTTTGATCCCACACACCAAAGAAGTAAATCTCCCAGTTAGATACCAAACACCTATGAAGTATGATATGGTTTGATCCCACACACCCAAGAAGTAAATCTCCAGTTAGATACCAAACACCTATGAAGTATGATATGGTTTGATCCCAGACACCCAAGAAGTAAATCTCCAGTTAGATACCAGACACCTATGAAGTATGATATGGGTTGATCCCACACACCAAAGAAGTAAATCTCCCAGTTAGATACCAAACACCTATGAAGTATGATATGGGTTGATCCCACACACCAAAGAAGTAAATCTCCCAGTTAGATACCAAACACCTATGAAGTATGATATGGTTTGATCCCACACACCCAAGAAGTAAATCTCCCAGTTAGATACCAAACACCTATGAAGTATGATATGGTTTGATCCCACACACCCAAGAAGTAAATCTCCAGTTAGATACCAAACACCTATGAAGTATGATATGGTTTGATCCCACACACCCAAGAAGTAAATCTCCAGTTAGATACCAGACACCTATGAAGTATGATATGGTTTGATCCCACACACCAAAGAAGTAAATTTCCCAGTTAGATACCAAACACCTATGAAGTATGATATGGTTTGATCCCACACACCCAAGAAGTAAATCTCCAGTTAGATACCAGACACCTATGAAGTATGATATGGGTTGATCCCACACACCAAAGAAGTAAATCTCCCAGTTAGATACCAAACACCTATGAAGTATGATATGGTTTGATCCCACACACCCAAGAAGTAAATCTCCAGTTAGATACCAGACAACTATGAAGTATGATATGGTTTGATCCCACACACCCAAGAAGTAAATCTCCAGTTAGATACCAGACACCTGTGAAGTATCATATGGTTTGATCCCACACACCTATGAAGTAAAACGAATCAAGAAGTTAGCTCGATCCCTTGTGTCATCAATTACCTGTTCTTGAAGGGGAGATAAAAATGGCGAAGAAGATGCCAAGCGTATAGAGCCAGCCTAAGGGGAAAAAAAACCAGGTTCAAAATTAATGTATGATTAATGTTAAGTTGATAATCATCATGTCTATTATATTTATTTATATTTAAAATGTAGCTAATTAGACAATTATTTTTAGATGAAACTTATGTTTAGACACCTTTTAAACTCAATATTTTAAACAAACATATTGTTCATTTTTTAAATTAATGAAAATCGTTTTACACTTATAAATGTCCCATTTCAAAAGTTTTAATTATCACAAATTTATAATATAAAATTATCATTATATGTATTTGATGTCCTTCCTTGATATGAGACTGAAATTTGTGCCTCACATTGTGTTAATTTAATCAGCAGTG